TATAATACACACAATACATACAATATAATACACACAATATACATACAATATAATACACACACAATACATACATATAATACACACAAATACATACAATGTAATACACACAATACATATATATAATACACACACAATACATACAATATAATACAATACATACAATATAATACACACAATACATACAATATAATACACACACAATACATACAATATAATACACACAATACATACAATATAATACACACAATACATACAATATAATACACACACAATACATACAATATAATACACACAATACATACATACAATATAATACACACACATACAATACATACACACAATACATACAATATAATACACACAATATACATACAATATAATACACACACAATACATACAATATAATACACACAATACATACAATATAATACAATACATATATAATACACACAATACATACAATATAATATACACAATACATACATATAATACACACACAATACATACATATTCCTCACAAAATAAGGCACACACAATACATACAATATTCAATACATACAATATTACACACATGTACATACAATATAATACACACAATATACATTATAATACACACAATACATACAAATATAATACACACAATACATACAATATAATACACACACAATACATAAATATAATACACACACACAATACAGATAAATACACACACACAATACATACAATATAATACACACACAATACATACAATATAATACACACACAATATAATACATATAATACACACAACTGTATACATATAATACACACAATACATACAATATAATACACACAATACATACAATATAATACACACAATACATACATATAATACACACAATACATACAATATAATATACAATATACATACAATATAATATACACACAATAATACTATAATACACACACAATATACAAGCTGGAAATTCCGTGGGGGGTCCTTCCTTCCTTCCTCACCTGGAAGGCAGCACCTGACTTTCTGCTGTTGGGATGTATTTTGGGGATTTGTAGAATGAGAGAAATGTCCTCTAGAGACTGGAGGAGGCAGGACGATGGAGGACAAGCAGAGTGTTCCTATTGGCTGCCCTTTGACCCCTGGAGTACTGTCCTGTATAGAAGCCGCCTGTCCTGCAGTGAGGTGAATTCAGGCGTGGCGCTGGGAGGGATGTACATATATATGCCCATAGGGGCTGATCTCTATGGAGCTGGAAATCCGTCGAATAGTCACCTCTGTTTATAGTGATTGCTCTCTTCTGGGTCCTGCACCAATGAGCTGCCCTCCTGCTGCACCAATGAGCTGCCCTCCTGCACCGATCAGCTGCCCTCCTGCACCAATGAGCTGCCCTCCTGCACCGATCAGCTGCCCTCCTGCACCGATCAGCTGCCCTCCTGCACCAATGAGCTGCCCTCCTGCACCAATCAGCTGCCCCCTGCACCGATGAGCTGCCCCCCTGCACCAATGAGCTGCCCCCCTGCACCAATGAGCTGCCCCCCTGCACCGATGAGCTGCCCCCCTGCACCCAATGAGCTGCCCCCCTGCACGATGAGCTGCCCCCCTGCACCGATGAGCTGCCCCCCTGCACAATGAGCTGCCCCCCTGCACCGATGAGCTGCCCCCCTGCACCAATGAGCTGCCCCCCTGCACCGATGAGCTGCCCCCTGCACCGATGAGCTGCCCCCCTGCACCGATGAGCTGCCCCCCTGCACCGATGAGCTGCCCCCCTGCACCGATGAGCTGCCCCCCTGCACCGATGAGCTGCCCCCCTGCACCGATGAGCTGCCCCCCTGCACCGATCAGCTGCCCTCCTGCATTGTGAACACGGGGGGTCGCTCACTTGGCACGGGAGCCATTCACAGAACATTTAGAATTTTCTGGTTGGATACTTTGTGTTCATTGAGTGTTCTGTGAATGGCTCCCGTGCCAAGTGAGCGACCCCCCGTGTTCACTATACAGCGGTGTATGGGATCCGGAAGGTGGGGGCAATCACTGTAGTAGCAGTGACTACTACAATGTATTTCCATCTTGCAGGGGATCCCACAGGTATGGCACACACACCTACATTGGGCCAAGCTGGATCAGTACAGAAGAAGCCATTCTCAATCTTTCCCCATTACCTGCAATGCTCGGTGCACCTCCACCAATGTATCCCCTCCCCCCACTGGTCACTTGTAGCCAAAGTCATGTACTCCTCCACTCCCGCACATTGGCTGAATGGTTCTCCGGATCGGTCCTGGACTACACGGACCTGGGATAGCGTTCAGTGTGATTGTCAGCCTGAACACCGCCATAGCAACCGCAGCCATAGCAACCGTCTCTTCCTTCCATCTCACTGACCTGCCCTAGAAACAGGAACCGGAGAATCTGATTGGCTGCTTGATTTAGTATATTAAAGGTTCTGGTTTTATATTTTTATAGGAACTCAGGGGGACTGGGGCGCCCGAAACGCTCAGGGGGACGGGGGCGCCCGAAACGCTCAGGGGGGACGGGGGCGCCCGAAACGCTCAGGGGGACGGGGGCGCCCGAAACGCTCAGGGGGGCGGGGGCGCCTGAAATGCCCAGGGGGACGGGAAACGCCCAGGGGGACGGGGGCGCCTGAAACGCCCAGGGGGGGGGACGGGAAACGCCCAGGGGGACGGGGGCGCCTGAAACACCCAGGGGGACGGGGGCGACGGGGGCGCCCAGGGGGACAGGGGGGGCGCCTGAAACACCCAGGGGGACGGGGGCGCCCAGGGGGACGGGGGCGCCCGAAACGCTCAGGGGGACGGGGGCGCCCAGGGGGACGGGGGCGCCCGAAACGCTCAGGGGGATGTTCTGCATATAACTAAATCATGAGTTTTGGGTGGGGGATGGGACACAGAATGCTGCCCTCCATGCCTGCTGAGCCATACACAATGAGGCACGCACACCGCCCCCGCCATTGGTATTGAAAGTCCCGTGTCCCCCCCTCTGATCACTGATTGGTTTTCTGCTGTATAAATCGTTTGATTTGTAATTGGTCGTAACCCATAGCAACATGTCAGCTAATCTGACCACAGTCTTTGGAAATGTGATGTGAAGTCCACGTCCTGTGTAAACATAAAGGGGAGCTCCGCATATTACTGGCTGGGAGATCCCAGAAGAGATGGCTCTGTAATAATGACTGGTAGTCACATGGCCGCCGCCGGCCCGGCTGGGATTTAGTTGAATGATGTTTATGGCAGAAAGTGAATGTTTGTATTTTGTCTGTGAAAGTGAAAAGGTTGTTTTTTGTACAGATTCTTACGTTTTGTATTGTATGATCTGATTGTCATCTATGGAGCTGACTGGTCAACGTGGAATTGTCTGCCGGCCATCATATCTGGGGGTGTGTGAGGGGCTATACTCTAATCTCCATTTATTGACGTCCTGGGCTAAATGCCCACCAATCAGCATTGTGTTCCAGGTCACCTGACATCTGTGTAGCCCTGGTCTGTACGGAGTGTATGGTCTCTATGGTCTGAGTGATCTGTATGGACTGTATTGGTCTGTTTGTTCTGTGCGGGCCCGGCGTGGTCTGTGCGGGCCCGGCGTGGTCTGTGCGGGCCGTATGGCCTTGAGTGATCTGTATGGACTGTATTGGTCTGTTTGTTCTGTGCGGGCCCGGCGTGGTCTGTGCGGGCCCGGCGTGGTCTGTGCGTGCCCGTCGTGGTCTGTGCGGGCCCGGCGTGGTCTGTGCGGGCCCGGCGTGGTCTGTGCGGGCCCTACGTGGTCTGTGCGGGCCGTATGGTCTTGAGTGATCTGTACGGACTGTATTGGTCTGTTTGTTCTGTGGGGGCCCGGCGCGGTGTGTGGGGGCCCGGCGCGGTGTGTGGGGGCCCGGCGCGGTGTGTGGGGGCCCGGCGCGGTGTGTGGGGGCCCGGCGCGGTGTGTGTGGGCCCGGCCCGGCGTGGTGTGTGTGTGGGCCCGGCGCGGTCTGTGCGGGCCCGGCGCGGGTGTGTGGGGCCCGGCGCGGTGTGTGGGGGCCCGGCGCGGTGTGTGGGGGCCCGGCGCGGTGTGTGGGGGCCCGGCGCGGTGTGTGGGGGCCCGGCGCGGTCTGTGCGGGCCTGGAGTGGTGTGTGGGGGCCCGGCGCGGTGTGTGGGGGCCCGGCGCGGTCTGTGCGGGCCCGGAGTGGTGTGTGGGGGCCCGGCGCGGTGTGTGCGGGCCCGGAGTGGTGTGTGGGGGCCCGGCGCGGTCTGTGCGGGCCCGGAGTGGTGTGCGCCGTCTGTACTGGGCTGTATGGTCGCTGTGTATTGATGTGAGAAGGTTTCTCTGGGCTGGAACTGATGGGAACGGTTGTGGGATATACTGGGAATGCTGTGAGATGTCAGCAGTGTGCAGAGACAAGTGAAGGAATGATGGAGATTGCTCTGGAACATTCCTAGAGACAAGTGGGCTCAGATATCCTCCCATCCCCCTTCCCTGGCAGGTGATTGTAATGTCGGGGTGTCTGGGATAGCACAGGCTGTGCACACACTGGAGCTGGGGAACGTCCATGCTGTGACTTCAGTAGGTAACGTTCCATCATCTGTTGCCTGGAATGACAGGTACTCTTGTCTCTGTGCAGCCAATCCGGGTTGTATGTCTGGTGTTCTGCTCTGCCCTCCCGGAATGTCAGTGGTTGTGCCTGACTTGTGGGGGTGGAGTGCCCCCTCCTGGATATTTCTAGTCATCACATGAATTGTATAATATTTTGCTCTGTGAATAATGAATGGGTGACATTGATCTGCTGGTGATCTATATCCCGTCATGTGACCGTCTCCATTGTCTGGCCTCCCCTCCTGCTGCCATAATGGGGGTCCTGCGTTGGCCTTGATCATGTGACCGAGGAGTTTTGGCCGTAACAGGTCTGCCAGTTCAAAGAGATAGTGAAGGTTAAAGTGTGGGAGGGGCCCTTCATCTCACTACAACCAATGACACGCAGCCCTGTGCCTCGGCCGCCGCCATTCTGATTCGTCTTGTTTTGTTGCAGCAGTGATTCCAGCAGTACGTCGAGCGATGAGTCTCCCGCCAGGTCGGTGCAGTCGGCCGCAGTTCCCGCACCTCCGGTCCAGCCGCTTCTCTCTCTGGACAAGGATGAACCGCGCAAAAGTTTTGGGATCAAAGTCCAGAATCTCCCTGTGCGTTCTACAGGTAGGAGAGCTTCATCCCCTTCACAGCTTGTCTCTGTATAACAATGGGGGGGGGGGGGTCTAATATGTCAGGGGTTGTAGTACTCACTACTGATCCGTCAGCCCCGCCCACTAACCAGAACGTACCAAATCCTTGTATGGTCTGGACCTGCCTGTGAGTTCCACGCCAACACCATCCCTCCTGAACCCGGCGTGGCTCTCCGTAGATGTATCCGACCAATCAAACTCTGTGCGGCATGCCATCAGAGGCTCTTCCCATTCATTGATTGGTCAGGATGGTGGTGGTGGTTCTTATACAGGAGTTCTATTTATTATTATACAGGATTTCTATTATTATTGTTATACAGGATTTATATTATTGTTATACAGGATTTATATTATTATTGTTATACAGGATTTATATTATTATTATACAGGATTTTATATTATACAGGATTTATATTATACAGGATTTATATTATACAGGATTTATATTATACAGGATTTATATTTATTATTATTATACAGGATTTATATATATTATTATTATACAGGATTTATATTTATTATTATACAGGATTTATAATTATACAGGATTTATATTTTATACAGGATTTATATATATTATTATACGGGATTTATATTATTATTATACAGGATTTATATTATTATTATACAGGATTTATATATATATTATTATTATACAGGATTTTTTATATATATTATTATTATACGGGATTTATATTATTATTATTATTATACAGGATTTATATATTATTATTATTATACGGGATTTATATTATTATTATTATACGGGATTTTATTATTATTATTATACAGGATTTATATTATTATTATTTATACAGGATTTATATTTATTATTATTATACAGGATTTATTATTATTATTATTATACAGGATTTATATTATTATTATTATACAGGATTTATATTTATTATTATTATACGGGATTTTTTTATTATTATTATACGGGATTTATATTATTATTATTATACAGGATTTATATTATTATTATTATACGGGATTTATATTATTATTATACAGGATTTATATTTTATTATTATTATACGGGATTTATATTATTATTATTATACAGGATTTATATTATTATTATTATACGGGATTTATATTATTATTATTATACGGGATTTATATTATTATTATTATACAGGATTTATATATATTATTATTATACAGGATTTATATTATTATTATTATACGGGATTTTATATTATTATTATTATACGGGATTTATTTTCTTATTCAGAATTTAAGCTGCCAATCCTGCCACACTTTACACTGTAAATAGAGAGCGTACAGTTCAGTACAGAAGGATTAGGAGGGTCCGGCTCCTGAGAGCTAACAATCTAATAGGGAGGGGGAAGTGGGGATATCTTGGGAGATGAGCTGATGAAGATGGTTGACGTTCAGTTTTTAGATGGAGGTGGGTTGGCTTCTCTAAATAAATGAGTTTTCATTAGTGAAGATACCATGTGACGTGTAGGGGGTGTGATGACGGTGAAGATACCATGTGACGTGTAGGGGGTGTGATGACGGTGAAGATATTTATTACCATGTGACGTGTAGGGGGTGTGATGACGGTGAAGATACCATGTGACGTGTAGGGGGTGTGATGACGGTGAAGATACCATGTGACGTGTAGGGGTGTGATGCAGGTGAAATACCATGTGACGTGTAGGGGGTGTATGACGGTGAAGATACCATGTGACGTGTAGGGGGTGTGATGCAGGTGAAGATACCATGTGACGTGTAGGGGGTGTGATGACGGTGAAGATACCATGTGACGTGTAGGGGGTGTGATGACGGTGAACATACCATGTGACGTGTAGGGAGGGGTGCGATGCTGGTGAAGATACCATGTGACGTGTAGGGGGTGTGATGACGGTGAAGATACCATGTGATCTGTAGGGGGTGTGATGACGGTGAAGATACCATGTGACGTGTAGGGGGTGTGATGCAGGTGAAGATACCATGTGACGTGTAGGGGGTGTGGATGCAGGTGAAGATACCATGTGACGTGTAGGGGGTGTGATGCCGGTGAAGATACCATGTGATCTGTAGGGGGTGTGATGCCGGTGAAGATACCATGTGACGTGTAGGGGGTGTGATGCCGGTGAAGATACCATGTGACGTGTAGGGGGTGTGATGACGGTGAAGATACCATGTGACGTGTAGGGGGGTGTGATGCCGGTGAAGATACCATGTGACGTGTAGGGGGTGTGATGACGGTGAAGATACCATGTGACGTGTAGGGGGTGTGATGCCGGTGAAGATACCATGTGACGTGTAGGGGGTGTGATGCCGGTGAAGATACCATGTGACGTGTAGGGGGTGTGATGCCGGTGAAGATACCATGTGACGTGTAGGGGGTGTGATGCCGGTGAAGATACCATGTGACGTGTAGGGGGTGTGATGCCGGTGAAGATACCATGTGACGTGTAGGGGGTGTGATGACGGTGAAGATACCATGTGATCTGTAGGGTGTCATTGGCACTGCTGGTGGCTTATACTCTTGCAATGTTCTGGTTCTGAGGTCCGGTTGGTGATGTAACGGGTCGGTGTTCTCCTGCAGATACAAGCCTTAAGGACGGCCTCTTCCACGAGTTCAAGAAGTACGGAAAGGTGACATCGGTGCAGATACACGGGGTATCTGAAGAGCGATACGGTCTGGTGTTCTTCCGGCAGCAGGAGGATCAGGAGAAAGCACTTAATGCATCAAAGGGCAAGCTGTTCTTCGGCATGCAGATAGAAGTCACGGCCTGGGTCGGCCCGGGTGAGTGGCCCTCCGAGGGGCGGGCCTTCCTTTTACACTTTGTCAAAGCTGATCTCCAGGCCGGTCCGAATGAACCTTCCCTACTGGGTGCCTGCTCTGTGCCCGCTGGGTGCCTGCTCTGTGCCCGCTGGGTGCCCGCTGCGTGCCCGCTCTGTGCCCGCTGCGTGCCCGCTCTGTGCCCGCTGGGTGCCCGCTCTGTGCCCGCTGGGTGCCCGCTCTGTGCCCGCTGGGTGCCCGCTGTGTGCCCGCTCTGTGCCCGCTCTGTGCCCGCTGGGTGCCCGCTCTGTGCCCGCTGGGTGCCTGCTGTGTGCCCGCTGGGTGCCTGCTGTGTGCCCGCTGGGTGCCCGCTGGGTGCCTGCTGTGTGCCCGCTGGGTGCCTCCTGGGTGCCTGCTGTGTGCCCGCTGGGTGCCCTGTACGGAACCTCCGCTACATACAGCCCGTGTTCCGGCACTGAGAGGAGAACGTGACAAACCACTGCTCATCCATTCACACGAATCAACACAAAAGTTCCTTTGATAGGCTGAGGCAGTGATGTGGATGACAGTTCTTTATTGAATCATCAAGAGCATGAATGAGTGAAGATTTAGGGAGCCCCCTACACTGCATACTTGTGATCCTCGGAGCCCCCTACACTGCATACTTGTGATCCAGGAGCCCCCTACACTGCATACTTGTGATCCAGGGAGCCCCCTACACTGCATACTTGTGATCCTCGGAGCCCCCTACACTGCATACTTGTGATCCTCGGAGCCCCCTACACTGCATACTTGTGATCCTCGGAGCCCCCTACACTGCATACTTGTGATCCTCAGAGCCCCCTACACTGCATACTTGTGATCCTCAGAGCCCCCTACACTGCATACTTGTGATCCTCAGAGCCCCCTACACTGCATACTTGTGATCCTCAGAGCCCCCTACACTGCATACTTGTGATCCTCGGAGCCCCCTACACTGCATACTTGTGATCCTCGGAGCCCCCTACACTGCATACTTGTGATCCTCGGAGCCCCCTACACTGCATACTTGTGATCCTCGGAGCCCCCTACACTGCATACTTGTGATCCTCGGAGCCCCCTACACTGCATACTTGTGATCCTCGGAGCCCCCTACACTGCATACTTGTGATCCTCGGAGCCCCCTACACTGCATACTTGTGATCCTCAGAGCCCCCTACACTGCATACTTGTGATCCTCGGAGCCCCCTACACTGCATACTTGTGATCCTCGGAGCCCCCTACACTGCATACTTGTGATCCTCGGAGCCCCCTACACTGCATACTTGTGATCCTCGGAGCCCCCTACACTGCATACTTGTGATCCTCGGAGCCCCCTACACTGCATACTTGTGATCCAGGGAGCCCCCTACACTGCATACTTGTGATCCTCGGAGCCCCCTACACTGCATACTTGTGATCCTAGGGAGCCCCCTACACTGCATACTTGTGATCCTCGGCAGAGCCCCCTACACTGCATACTTGTGATCCTCGGAGCCCCCTACACTGCATACTTGTGATCCTCGGAGCCCCCTTCACCGCATACTTGTGATCCTCGGAGCCCCCTACACTGCATACTTGTGATCCAGGGAGCCCCCTACACTGCATACTTGTGATCCTCGGAGCCCCCTACACTGCATACTTGTGATCCAGGGAGCCCCCTACACTGCATACTTGTGATCCTCGGAGCCCCCTACACTGCATACTTGTGATCCTCGGAGCCCCCTACACTGCATACTTGTGATCCAGGGAGCCCCCTACACTGCATACTTGTGATCCTCGGAGCCCCCTACACTGCATACTTGTGATCCTCGGAGCCCCCTACACTGCATACTTGTGATCCTCGGAGCCCCCTACACTGCATACTTGTGATCCAGGGAGCCCCCTACACTGCATACTTGTGATCCAGGGGAGCCCCCTACACTGCATACTTGTGATCCTCGGAGCCCCCTACACTGCATACTTGTGATCCAGGGAGCCCCCTACACTGCATACTTGTGATCCTCGGAGCCCCCTACACCGCATACTTGTGATCCTCGGAGCCCCCTACACTACTGCATACTTGTGATCCAGGGAGCCCCCTACACTGCATACTTGTGATCCTCGGAGCCCCCTACACTGCATACTTGTGATCCTCGGAGCCCCCTACACTGCATACTTGTGATCCAGGGAGCCCCCTACACTGCATACTTGTGATCCAGGGAGCCCCCTACACTGCATACTTGTGATCCAGGGAGCCCCCTACACTGCATACTTGTGATCCTCGGAGCCCCCTACACCGCATACTTGTGATCCTCGGAGCCCCCTACACTGCATACTTGTGATCCAGGGAGCCCCCTACACTGCATACTTGTGATCCAGGGAGCCCCCTACACTGCATACTTGTGATCCTCGGAGCCCCCTACACTGCATACTTGTGATCCAGGGAGCCCCCTACACTGCATACTTGTGATCCAGGGAGCCCCCTACACTGCATACTTGTGATCCTCGGAGCCCCCTACACTGCATACTTGTGATCCAGGGAGCCCCCTACACTGCATACTTGTGATCGGCTACAATTATCTGCAGAAGCTGGCAGCCTCTGATTTGCTGTCAGTGGGGCTGTCTCTTGCATGTAATCCGTGTCGGTCCCAGTCACGTGTGGATGTGGCCCTGACTGAGAAGGGGGCAATGGAGTACATATAGGATGGGTGACATAGTATGTAAATTATTACCAGAAATATTCCAATGGGCAAATCGTATTCCTGTACATCCAGATACCATGTAAGACCTTCCTATAGTCTGCACTGATGTCATGGCTGTGTGACCTGTAGCGTGTTCTTGCCATGTCTTTGGGGCCTGGATGTTGTAGCCCGGGAGGTTCTCTCTGATTACATTCTTTACATTTGGTTCTTGTCGTCCTTCCAGAAACGGAGAGTGAGAATGAATTCCGACCTCTGGACGAGAGAATAGACGAATTTCACCCCAAGGCCACGCGGACCCTTTTCATTGGTAACTTGGAGAAAACCACCACCCACCTGGACCTGCACAACGTGTTCCAGCGCTTCGGAGAGATTGTGGTATGTTGGCCTTGCATGACTCCACACACAGCATTGTCTCCTCTGTGACCGGCCAGTAGTCACCTTCCCGCCTCGGATGGTCGATATCTTGTCAGGCCGGAGATGTGATCCGGCATCAATATGTCCCGCTGTAGTTTTGTGTGCCTGTCCATTCTTAATCCTGTTATGTTCATCCTGCTCTCGCACCATCGATCTGACTGTATTCCTCTGCTGTCCAGGATATCGATGTGAAGAAGTTGAATGGGGTTCCTCAGTACGCCTTCCTGCAGTACAGCGATATCACCAGTGTCTGCAAAGCCATTAAGAAGATGGATGGAGAGTATCTGGGGAACAACCGGCTGAAGGTATAGAGCACCGTACCGAGTCGGCTTGTTTCTGCTCCGTCCTGGAAATGTGCAGCTGAGAGGCATCGGCATGCAATGTCTGCTGTGTAGCTGGGCCATCCCAGGAGCGGGCTGCTCCTTACAGCTTGTTTCTGCTCCGTCCTGGAATTGTTCAGCTGACTGCAGCTGAGAGGCATCGGCATGCAATGTCTGCTGTGTGTAGCTGGGCCATCCCAGGAGCGGGCTGCTCCTTACAGCTTGTTTCTGCTCCGTCCTGGAAATGTCCAGCTGAGAGGCATCGGCATGCAATGTCTGCTGTGTAGCTGGGCCATCCCAGGAGCGGACTGCTCCTTACAGCTTGTTTCTGCTCCGTCCTGGAAATGTCCAGCTGAGAGGCATCGGCATGCAATGTCTGCTGTGTAGCTGGGCCATCCCAGGAGCGGGCTGCTCCTTACAGCTTGTTTCTGCTCCGTCCTGGAAATGTCCAGCTGAGAGGCATCGGCATGCAATGCCTGCTGTGTAGCTGGGCCATCCCAGGAGTGGGCTGCTCCTTACAGCTTGTTTCTGCTCCATCCTGGAAATGTCCAGCTTAGAGGCATCGGCATGCAATGTCTGCTGTGTAGCTGGGCCATCCCAGGAGCGGGCTGCTCCTTACAGCTTGTTTCTGCTCCGTCCTGGAAATGTCCAGCTGACTGCAGCTGAGAGGCATCGGCATGCAATGCCTGCTGTGTAGCTGGGCCATCCCAGGAGCGGGCTGCTCCTTACAGCTTGTTTCTGCTCCGTCCTGGAAATGTCCAGCTGAGAGGCATCGGCATGCAATGTCTGCTGTGTAGCTGGGCCATCCCAGGAGCGGGCTGCTCCTTACAGCTTGTTTCTGCTCCATCCTGGAAATGTCCAGCTGAGAGGCATCGGCATGCAATGCCTGCTGTGTAGCTGGGCCATCCCAGGAGCGGGCTGCTCCTTACAGCTTGTTTCTGCTCCATCCTGGAAATGTCCAGCTGAGAGGCATCGGCATGCAATGCCTGCTGTGTAGCTGGGCCATCCCAGGAGCGGACTGCTCCTTACAGCTTGTTTCTGCTCCGTCCTGGAAATGTCCAGCTGAGAGGCATCGGCATGCAATGTCTGCTGTGTAGCTGGGCCATCCCAGGAGCGGGCTGCTCCTTACAGCTTGTTTCTGCTCCGTCCTGGAAATGTCCAGCTGAGAGGCATCGGCATGCAATGTCTGCTGTGTAGCTGGGCCATCCCAGGAGCGGGCTGCTCCTTATCCACATATACTATACAATAGCTGAAAGCCAATACTAAGTGATGACCTCCTGTCATGTGAAGAGCCTTCTAGCCAATCATAAATCACCGAATAGCTTCTTGTGTCTCTGAGACTCCAGGATCTCTATGCCCCGGTTCACATCTATGCGGGGGTGCGGGCTGAGTTTTGCGCAGGCATAAGAGCCCATTCATTTGAATGGACTCCCGGGCCCCGTGACACCCAGGGAAGAAGTCCCGGCACTTTTTTGGAAAACGCAGCCGAGGTTCCCAGTATAGTTGCGTTTTCCAGTGCGGGCGGCGTGCCATCAGAACTATTGGCTCCCGCCCGCGGGGTCCGCCGTCCTCTGTACGGGTGGTGCGGCTGCACGGATTTTTGTGCGGATCCACAGCGGCACCACCCGTACAGATGTGAACCGAGCCTAAAGGGTATTTCCACTTTCATTGGGGGAAAAAAACACCAAAAATAATTTAGCGTTTACAATTGTGACACGTCATGTTGTCATTGAATGGTATTAAAGATTCATCTTTCCTTTCCAATCTGCGGCCGCTGTCCTTTTCATACGGCAACCTGGAGGTCGTTGTGTACACCCCCCAGATATGCCGTTTCCTGCTTGTTTGATTGGCTGACTGATTGTCCCAGTGCATACTCTTCAGAATAGGAACGGAATTCTGTGATTTGTGGTTCTCAGGTGATATAAATCGATGTTTTCTGTTCCACCCGAAAAGCTGACATGTTGAATTTTATTCCCTACAGCTGGGATTTGGGAAAAGTATGCCGACCAACTGTGTGTGGATAGACGGCCTGTCCTCCAGCGTCACTGAACAGTATTTAACGCGTCATTTTAACCGTTACGGGCCTGTGCTGAAGGTAGGTGGGCAGTTGGTGACCTGAGGTGAACCTACATCCTCTCACATCTTTTCTGTCCTTTTCCCTCCTGAAATACATATATTGTCAGACATGATGGCTGCCTACAGGAACCAGACAGGACATTCTGTAACCAGTTGTTTTGTCTGTATTTGTAATAGAAATGTGATCACTTTCAGAAGGCCAAAGTTTGCACCATGCATATGGCAGGTGGGCCCTAGACACACATAACCGACAGCTGACTGTGGACAGGGCCCCGCTGCTTCCATTATAGAACCATGATGATGATTATCAGGCCTTAGTACAAATCTACAGCTGTCTTACCAGTAACAATAACCTATGGGAGTACACAGAGCCCGACCACAGACCCCTATGGGAGTACACAGAGCCCGACCACAGACCCCTATGGGAGTACACAGAGCCCGACCACAGACCCCTATGGGAGTACACAGAGCCCGACCACAGACCCCTATGGGAGTACACAGAGCCCGACCACAGACCCCTATGGGAGTACACAGAGCCCGACCACAGACCCCCTGGGAGTACGCAGAGCCCGACCACAGACCCCTATGGGAGTACGCAGAGCCCGACCACAGACCCCTATGGGAGTACGCAGAGCCCGACCACAGACCCCTATGGGAGCTACGCAGAGCCCGACCACAGACCCTATGGGAGTACGCAGCGCCCGACCACAGACCCCTATGGGAGTACGCAGAGCCCGACCACAGACCCCTGGGAGTACGCAGAGCCCGACCACAGACCCCTGGGAGTACGCAGAGCCCGACCACAGACCCCTATGGGAGTACGCTATGGGAGAGCCCGACCACAGACCCCTATGGGAGTACACAGAGCCCGACCACAGACCCCTATGGGAGTACACAGAGCCTGACCACAGACCCCTATGGGAGTACACAGAGCCCGACCACAGACCCCTATGGGAGTACACAGAGCCCGACCACAGACCCCTATGGGAGTACACAGAGCCCGACCACAGAGCCCCCTATGGGAGTACACAGAGCCCGACCACAGACCCCTATGGGAGTACACAGAGCCCGACCACAGACCCCTATGGGAGTACGCAGAGCCCGACCACAGACCCCTGGGAGTACGCAGAGCCCGACCACAGACCCCTATGGGAGTACGCAGAGCCCGACCACAGACCCCTATGGGAGTACGCAGAGCCCGACCACAGACCCCTATGGGAGTATACAGAGCCCGACCACAGACCCCTATGGGAGTACACAGAGCCCGACCACAGACCCTATGGGAGTACGCAGAGCCCGACCACAGACCCCTATGGGAGTACACAGAGCCCGACCACAGACCCCTATGGGAGTACACAGAGCCCGACCACAGACCCCTATGGGAGTACGCAGAGCCCGACCACAGACCCCTATGGGAGTACGCAGAGCCCGACCACAGACCCCTATGGGGAGTACGCAGAGCCCGACCACAGACCCCTATGGGAGTACACAGAGCCCGACCACAGACCCCTGGGAGTACGCAGAGCCCGACCACAGACCCCTATGGGGGTACGCAGAGCCCGACCACAGACCCCTATGGGAGTACGCAGAGCCCGACCACAGACCCCTATGGGAGTACGCAGAGCCCGGAGCCCGACGACCACAGACCCCTATGGGAGTACGCAGAGCCCGACCACAGACCCCTATGGGAGTACGCGGAGCCCGACCACAGACCCCTATGGGGGTACGCAGAGCCCGACCACAGACCCCTATGGGGGTACGCAGAGCCCGACCACAGACCCCTATGGGGGTACGCGGAGCCCGACCACAGACCCCTATGGGGGTACGCAGAGCCCGACCACAGACCCCTATGGGGGTACGCAGAGCCCGACCACAGACCCCTATGGGGGTACGCAGAGCCCGACCACAGACCCAGACCCCTATGGGGGTACGCAGAGCCCGACCACAGACCCCTATGGGGGTACGCAGAGCCCGACCACAGACCCCTATGGGGGTACGCAGAGCCCGACCACAGACCCCTATGGGAGTACGCAGAGCCCGACCACAGACCCCTATGGGGGTATGCGGAGCCCGACCACAGACCCCTATGGGAGTACGCGGAGCCCGACCACAGACCCCTATGGGGGTACGCAGAGCCCGACCACAGACCCCTATGGGAGTACGCAGAGCCCGACCACAGACCCTATGGGGGTACGCAGAGCCCGACCACAGACCCCTATGGGGGTACGCAGAGCCCGACCACAGACCCTATGGGGGTACGCAGAGCCCGACCACAGACCCCTATGGGGGTACGCAGAGCCCGACCACAGACCCTATGGGGGTACGCAGAGCCCCCGACCACAGACCCTATGGGGGTACGCAGAGCCCGACCACAGACCCCTATGGGGGTACGCAGAGCCCGACCACAGAGACCTTATGGGGAGTACGCAGAGCCCGACCACAGACCCCTATGGGGGTACGCAGAGCCCGACCACAGACCCCTATGGGGGTACGCAGAGCCCGACCACAGACCCCTATGGGGGTACGCAGAGCCCGACCACAGACCCCTATGGGGGTACGCAGAGCCCGACCACAGACCCCTATGGGGGTACGCAGCGCCCGACCACAGACCCCTATGGGGTACGCCGAGCCCGACCACAGACCCCTATGGGGGTACGCCGAGCCCGACCACAGACCCCTATGGGGGTACGCCGAGCCCGACCACAGACCCCTATGGGGGTACGCAGAGCCCGACCACAGACCCCTATGGGGGTACGCAGAGCCCGACCACAGACCCCTATGGGGTACGCAGAGCCCGACCACAGACCCCTATGGGGGTACGCAGAGCCCGACCACAGACCCCTATGGGGGTACGCAGAGCCCGACCACAGACCCCTATGGGGGTACGCAGAGCCCGACCACAGACCCCTATGGGGGTACGCAGAGCCCGACCACAGACCCCTATGGGGGTACGCAGAGCCCGACCACAGACCCTTTAGTGAGTGCTAAATTGTAGGCAAAGCAGACTGCTAAATTCGCCTTCCTTTTTTTTTTCCTCCATTGGATAGAAGATGGCATTGAATCAAAAAACCAAAAAAAATAAGTAAAATTCCTCATTGACACGAGACGAACGCTGATCTTTGACCGAGTCCTAAGTGGGGGCGCCGCTCTTATGTCCTCTGTTCTCTGTTTGTTTTTCCCCGACAGGTGGTGTACGACCGCTTTAAAGGCATGGCCCTGATTCTCTACAGTGAGATTGAATTTGCCCAGGCAGCTGTAAAAGAGACCAAGGGGAGGAAGATTGGTGGGAATACCGTTAAGGTGTGCACAGACCACCTTAATTACTGCTTCATGATTTGAACTATTCACATAGGAAATCTTCCATCCTGATCCTAGTTGTGGCGCGGGGGGGGGGGGGGGGGGGGGGGGGCCTCCCTGGTGGGCTGATGTGTAGCAGAGTGTTAGCCTTGTGTCTCTGAACTTCTCGGTGATTTCTGGTAGTCTTCTCTTGTTACTGGTAAGCAGTAGAACCTCTGCAGCAAGGTAACCTGGAACATTACTCACAGGGCCCCCCCCCCCCCCCCCCCCCCAGTACCACAAAAAAGGTCCTTCGCTGTCACGACTCACATCTCCGGGATCCGCTCCTTCCAAACCACGACCGTCATAGAAAGCTGCACACCGCAAAAAACAAAACAACTTTATTGTTCCAGCACTGTTCCAGATACTCCACCCAACTCAGAAAGAGTTGCATGGTGCAGTGCCGTCAACAAGGAAACGGCGGTGCGCAGCTTCCTGTCACGGTAATGCAGGCCATAAATGGGTCGATTTCCAAACTATTTCTCGTCCGAAAACATAGTTCGTTTGGTAATCTGATGGCGCCATCAATGATTTCGAAAATCGGCCGACCGAGTCATAATGTTCACCCCATATAACGGTGAAAATTCTGTTCCTGGTCACGGCTCATGCGCATATTTTTTTCGGAAAAACGATCGTACGATTTGACCATCATTGAGTCGAAAATCGGTCGTTTTTCACGAATTTTCCAACATGCCCGATCACCGGAAAGGGGGGAGGAACTACGAAAATCGGCCGGTGCCATTGACCCCACTAACAGAGCGAATGTCGGCCGATTATTCTTGGCTCCAATTTTCGGATGAAAGATCGGTCGAATTTTGACCCATGTATGGCCAGCATAAGTAACCGGAACATTCTCCATTTACAGATTCAGCAACATACATTTAATTTCATTGCGTAGTGTAAGATTTCTGAGGCATTGGCAGTCACAGAGACGCTAAACGATTTCCAGTCCGTACGCAAATGTTAAATGGGACCCCCCCACCCCCACATGTCGGACAGGCTCATACACTCCTCCTCTAACCATTATTCCCAGGATTCTGTAGTGCCCTGCCTATACCATTTTCACTTTCCCTACAGCTCTCTCCTTTTTCCTGTATTGTGTCGGGGGCGATATCTTATGAAATGACAGCAGGCGCTTCAGTGTACAAAGGACGGCCATTTTGATTTGGTCACGTGACGCCAGGTTTTCGCAGACCTTATCGTACGTTTTGCTGCTCCGCGCAGACGTGAATGAAATTTAGAGTTTATGACAGAACCTCGAGGTCTTCTGCAGCGTGAATAATTCTAGAAACGTGTTTTCATTTGCTGCTGCCACAGAGTTAGGGGAATGCATGTAGGCCCCTTCTGCTTGAAGTGGACCGTCCGCCTCAGTGACAAGGCCCGATTATTCCAATTTCCCTCTCTAAACTGATGCATTAAAGTACCCGTGGGGGGGGGGGGGGGGGGGAATCGATAAAATAGTTCTGTTTCAGATTTTTATCTGATATTTGTCATGGTGTGCTCATGTCATATTATGTATTCATACCTTTCATTTTGTTCAATAAATCTGTATGGAACTAAAATAGATAAAACACTTCCCTTTCCTTGGCTTCACCGCTGCACCTAGGCAAGGGTATTGTCCTGATATCAGAGAATGGTGAATAGCCCAGTTTTCCCCTAGAATTCAGACCTGCACTGTGCTGCAGCTTGTTCTCACCAGATTTGGGCTACTCATCATTCCCAGGGATCTTGTCGGCTGAAGGATGAGATCAGCCCTTGTAGTACGGAAGTTGGCGACTGTATATTCCCCCTCCACAGAAATGAGATAATGACGCAAGACGGGTTCAAAGAGCAGGCACCAATGGAACAATAAATCATCCTTTCTCAACTGGGTGTCCAGGCACCCTGGGGTGCCTTGACCCTCCAGGGGTGCCTTGAGGTTTCTCCAGGGGTGCCTTGAGGTTTCTCCAGGGGTGCCTTGAGGTTTGCCAGGGGTGCCTTGAGGTTTCTCCAGGGGTGCCTTGAGGTTTCTCCAATGGTGCCTTGAGGTTTCTCCAACGGTGCCTTGAGGTTTCTCCAACGGTGCCTTGAGGTTTCTCCAACGGTGCCTTGAGGTTTTTCTCCAACGGTGCCTTGAGGTTTCACCAACGGTGCCTTGAGGTTTCTCCAACGGTGCCTTGAGGTTTCTCCAACGGTGCCTTGAGGTTTCTCCAACGGGTTTCTCCAACGGTGCCTTGAGGTTTCTCCAACGGTGCCTTGAGGTTTCTCCAACGGTGCCTTGAGGTTTTTTCCAACGGTGCCTTGAGGTTTCTCCAACGGTGCCTTGAGGTTTCTCCCAAGGGGTGCCTTGAGGTTTCCCAAGGGGTGCCTTGAGGTTTTTCCCCAGGGGTGCCTTGAGGTTTCCCCAGGGGTGCCTTGAGGTTTCCCCAGGGGTGCCTTGAGGTTTCCCCAGGGGTGCCTTGAGTTTTGCCTTGAGGTTTCCCCAGGGGTGCCTTGAGGTTTCCCCAGGGGTGCCTTGAGGTTTCCCCAGGGGTGCCTTGAGGTTTCCCCAGGGGTGCCTTGAGGTTTCCCCAGGGGTGCCTTGAGGTTTCCCCAGGGGTGCCTTGAGGTTTCCCCAGGGGTGCCTTGAGGTTTCTCCAAGGGTGCCTTGAGGTTTCTCCAGGGGTGCCTTGACAAAATATCTAAAAATTGGCCAAAACTTGTATACAGCCAGCTGGTGGGACGTGCCTCCGTTTTAGTTACACAAATCCCCCGGTTTTCATTGTACACCATTACGACCTTCTGGCCGCCGGAGTCCTGACAACCAATGACATCATCAGTTTTAAGGAGGATGTCAGCTGCCTGCACAGCATCCTAGTTTGACCCTCCCCCGCCCCTCTCTGTCAGTACTGCGGTCACATTAGCTTAGTGATGGATAAAAGGGAGAGGGGGGGGAGAAGAGAAACACTGGAATACTAGTCGGTACCAGTGTGCAAAAGTATATTTGCTTTGGAAGAATAAATCCCCTCTAATGTTGGGGATCCTCCATGTGTGGGTGTTGCTGCATTATTGAAAACTATTAGAATACCTTTTCTCATTTTAGAATGGGGTGCCTCGAGACTGTCCATCATTTTAAAGGGTGCCTTGAGACTGTCCATCATTTTAAAGGGTGTCCCGGGACCGTCCATCATTTTAAAGGGTGTCCCGGGACCGTCCATCATTTTAGAGGGTGTCCCGGGGAAAGGTGTCCCGGGACCGTCCATCATTTTAAAGGGTGTCCCGGGACCGTCCATCATTTTAAAGGGTGTCCCGGGACCGTCCATCATTTTAAAGGGTGTGTCCATCATTTTAAAGGGTGTCCCGGGACCGTCCATCATTTTAAAGGGTGTCCCGGGACCGTCCATCATTTTAGAGGGTGTCCCGGGACCGTCCATCATTTTAAAGGGTGTCCCGGGACCGTCCATCATTTTAAAGGGTGTCCCGGGACCGTCCATCATTTTAAAGGGTGTCCCGGGACCGTCCATCATTTTAAAGGGTGTCCCGGGACCGTCCATCATTTTAAAGGGTGTCCCGGGACCGTCCATCATTTTAAAGGGTGTCCCGGGACCGTCCATCATTTTAAAGGGTGTCCCGGGACCGTCCATCATTTTAAAGGGTGTCCGGGACCGTCCATCATTTTAAAGGGTGTCCCGGGACCGTCCATCATTTTAGAGGGTGTCCCGGGACCGTCCATCAAGAGGGTGTCCCGGGACCATCATTTTAAAGGGTGCCTTGAGACTGTCCATCATTTTAAAGGGTGTCCCGGGACCGTCCATCATTTTAGAGGGTGTCCCGGGACCGTCCATCATTTTAAAGGGTGTCCCGGGACCGTCCATCATTTTAAAGGGTGTCCCGGGACCGTCCATCATTTTAAAGGGTGTCCCGGGACCGTCCATCATTTTAAAGGGTGTCCCGGGACCGTCTATCATTTTAGAGGGTGTCCCGGGACCGTCCATCATTTTAGAGGGTGTCCCGGGACCGTCCATTATTTTAAAGGGTGTCCCGGGACCGTCCATCATTTTAGAGGGTGTCCCGGGACCGTCCATCATTTTAGAGGGTGTCCTGGGACTGTGTCCCATTTTAGAGGGTGTCCTGGGACTGTCCATCATTTTAGAGGGTGTCCTGGGACCGTCCATCATTTTAGAGGGTGTCCTGGGACCGTCCATCATTTTAGAGGGTGTCCTGGGCCCGTCCATCATTTTAGAGGGTGTCCTGGGACTGTCCATCATTTTAGAGGGTGTCCTGGGACCGTCCATCATTTTAGAGGGTGTCCCGGGACCGTCCATCATTTTAGAGGGTGTCCTGGGACCGTCCATCATTTTAAAGGGTGCCTTGACTGCATAATGGTTGAGAAACACTGCAATAAATGATCAAACCATAAATAAAGCCCTTGATAATTTGTGTAGCGGTCCAGTGGTAGCTTGCAGTAATACAATAGCGCCAGTTCCACACTCAGATTGAAGTCATACCTGTGGACTGTGAGACCAAAAAAGGGGGCGCCAGCTAAGTGTAGTGGTCAGCAGCAAGTTTATCAAGGGAGTTGCCACTTGTCTTTTTTTAATACTACCCTCTACACTTAGCTGGCGGCCCCTTTCTCGTCTTTCTCGCATTCCCCCTCCACAGGTACTTCTTGCAGCATTTCAGGGAGATGGCACCTTGAATGAGCGGACCTTGCCACTGGGGTGGAGTATCCTCTTTATATGATGCAGAACCTGATTGGGTGATTTGCAGCAAAGGGATGTGTGATGGTTCCACAGATCATTCCAACTCACAAGCCGCTGCTTTTGTTTCATATTTGTCACTCTGAGATTTAAAAATGGCATTTTGATGTAAGTTCTCCAAATGAGATTCTCTTTTTCTTTTGTCATTTATGCATCAGGTGGACTTTGCTAACCAGGAAAGTCAGTTGGCTTTCTATGGCTCAATGGAATCAACGGGACAGGATATACGGGATATCTACGAAATAATATCGGAAAGAAGGTGCGTTGTCGCTGGTTGTCTTTGTATATTTCTTTGCGTTTTATAATATTTCCAGGATATTCTCATCATAAAAGTGTGTTCATGTAATAAAGGGTCTGTGCTTGTATTGGGGTGACTTCCTTTGGTGAGGTTGTCGTGCGTTACGTTGTCATGTTAGAGGTCCAGCATGTCCATTCTAAATACAGGTTTAACCCTTTCGCTGTCAGGGCCGTCTTTGCTCACGTGTTTAAAAAATCATTTTAGTCTTGAAGATTGCATAAAACCCCCAAAACATGATATCTTGTCTGCAAGCAGACACCCTACAGCAGGAGCGTCTAACTGGCGGCCCTCCAGCTGTTGCCAAACTACAAGTCCCATCGTGCCTCTGCCTTTGGCAGTCATGCTTGTAACTGTCGCTCTTGCAATGCCTCATGGGACTTGTAGTTTGGCAGCAGCTGGAGGGCCGCCAGTTTGACCCCCGTGACCTAGAGAATAAAATAGCGGTCGTTCTAATTTTCTATGTTAGGTGATATTACTGCAAAGGTCCAGGAAGCACAAAATGTCAGTAAAAAGATACACTAAAGTTAATTTGGGGCAAATAAATGACCAGTTGTTTGGTAAAATATAAAAGGTGACATTGCGCTGAGTAAAGAAGACGGTAAACGTGAAATCCTAAATTTACATGCACCCGTGAAATGGTTACAAACTTTAGTACCCAATTTCTTTTTCCATAGGCAACGCTTTTAACCACTTGCCGTCCGGCCGCTGTATATAAACAGCCGGACGGTGGCAGTGCAGGGGCCGATTGCCGTTCATAAACGGCACCCGCCATTATGGACTGGGAGCGCGCAGCACCGCGATTCGGTGCCCGCTGTGTCCTCCGGACACAGTGGAACACCGATCGTCGTACGGAACCTCTGTGCGAGGTCCTGATCATGTGATCACTGATTGGCCAGTCAGTGATAACATACAGAGTAGTAAGCAAAGATGTCACTTCTGACATCATTGCTTACTATGTGTGAAATCTGTGAATGATCACAGAGCTCACATGGTACAGGGCTATTCACAACAGCCTCGTACCATGTGACAAGCTGTGAGCAATCGCAGCTCACACAGTATTTCCCAATGGCTGCAAGAATGCTGCCAGAGAGAAGGAGAAATGATTGCTTTTACAGCCTTTATGGGTGTCAAAGCAATCAGTGTAAAAAAAAAAAATCTTCATCACCCCCCACAGTAGTACAGTGTCACCATGGTGACCCCACACTGCTAGGTGACAGAATGTAAAAAAAAAAAAAAAACATAAATAATATAAAAAAATTAAATAAAAATTTAAAAAATATTTTTTAAAAATTATAATTTTTGGTTATAAACTAATTTGGGTTATTTTTTTTTTAACTAAAAAGATAACGGAATAAATTCTGGCCAAGATTTATGAGGAAATATTATTTATTTGCAAAATTTTATAAGAAAAACACTTTTTTTTCAGAATTTTTGGACTTTTTCATTTATATAGCAAAAAAAAATAAAAATCCCAGCGGTGAATAAATACCACCAAAATAAAGCTTTATCTGTCTCAAAACAATGCTAAAAAATTCATCTGGGTACAGTGTTGCATGACCGCGCAATTGTCATTCAAAGTGTGATAGTGCTGAAAATTGGCCTGGACTGGAAGGGGGGAAAGTGTCCGGACTGGAAGGGGGGGGAAAGTGTCCGGACTGGAAGGGGGGGGAAAGTGTCCGGACTGGGGGGGGGGGGAAAGTGTCCGGACTGGAAGGGGGGGGAAAGTGTCCGGACTGGAAGGGGGGGGGAAAGTGTCCGGACTGGAAGGGGGGGGGGGAAAGTGTCCAGACTGGAAGGGGGGGGAAAGTGTCCGGACTGGAAGGGGGGGAAAGCGTCCGGACTGGAAGGGGGGGAAAGCGTCCGGACTGGAAGGGGGGGAAAGCGTCCGGACTGGAAGGGGGGGAAAGCGTCCGGACTGGAAGGGGGGGAAAGCGTCCGGACTGGAAGGGGGGGAAAGTGTCTGGACTGGAAGGGGGGGAAAGCGTCTGGACTGGAAGGGGGGGGAAAGTGTCCTGGACTGGAGGTGGAGGGGAAAGTGTTCTGGACTGGAAGGGGGGGGGAAAGTGTCTGGACTGGAAGGGGGGTAAAGTGTCTGGACTGGAAGGGGGGGAAAGTGTCCTGGACTGGAAGGGGGGGGGGGAAAGTGTCTGGACTGGAAGGGGGGGGGGGAAGTGTCGGACTGGAAGGGGGGGGGGAAAGTGTCCGGACTGGAAGGGGGGGGAAAGTGTCCGGACTGGAAGGGGGGGGGGAAAGCGTCCGGACTGGAAGGGGGGGGGGGGAAAGCGTCCGGACTGGAAGGGGGGGGGGGGGGGAAAGCGTCTGGACTGGAAGGGGGGGAAAGTGTCTGGACTGGGGGGGGGGGGGGAAAGTGTCCTGGACTGGAAGGGGGGGGGGGGGGGACTGGAAGGGGGGGGAAAGTGTCGGACTGGAAGGGGGGGAAAGTGTCCGGACTGGAAGGGGGGGAAAGTGTCCGGACTGGAAGGGGGGGGGAAAGTGTCCGGACTGGAAGGGGGGGGAAAGTGTCCGGACTGGAAGGGGGGGGAAAGTGTCCGGACTGGAAGGGGGGGGAAAGCGTGTCCTGGACTGGAAGGGGGGGGGGGGGAAGTGTCTGGACTGGGAAGGGGGGAAAGTGTCTGGGGGAAGGGAACTGGGGGGGGGGGAAAGTGTCCGGACTGGAAGGTGGGGGGGAAAGTGTTCGGACTGGAGGGGGGGAAAGTGTCCGGGACTGGAAGGGGGGACTGTGTCTGGACTGGAAGGGGGGGAAAGTGTCTGGACTGGAAGGGGGGGGGGGGGGGGAAAGTGTCCGGACTGGGAGGGGGGGAAAGTGTCCGGACTGGAAGGGGGGGGAAAGTGTCCGGACTGGAAGGGGGGGAAAGTGTCCGGACTGGAAGGGGGGGGAAAGTGTCCGGACTGGAAGGGGGGGAAAGTGTCCGGACTGGAAGGGGGGGGGAAAGCGTCCGGACTGGAAGGGGGGGAAAGTGTCCGGACTGGAAGGGGGGGAAAGTGTCCGGACTGGAAGGGGGGGGGGGAAAGGTCCGGACTGGAAGGGGGGGGGGGGGGGAAGTGTCTGGACTGGAAGGGGGGGAAAGTGTCTGGACTGGAAGGGGGGGAAAGTGTCTGGACTGGAGGGGGGGGGGGGGGAAGTGTCTGGACTGGAAGGGGGGGGGAAAGTGTCCGGACTGGAAGGGGGTGAAAGTGTCCGGACTGGAAGGGGGGGAAAGTGTCCGGACTGGAAGGGGGGGGAAAGCGTCTCCGGACTGGAAGGGGGGGGGGGAAGTGTCCGGACTGGAAGGGGGGGAAAGTGTCTGGACTGGAAGGGGGGGAAAGTGTCTGGACTGGAAGGGGGGGGGGGGGGGGAAGTGTCCGGACTGGAAGGGGGGGAAAGTGTCTGGACTGGAAGGGGGGGGGGGGGAAAGTGTCTGGACTGGAAGGGGGGGGAAGTGGACTGGGGGGGGGAAAGTGTCTGGACTGGAAGGGGGGGGAAAGTGTCTGGACTGGAAGGGGGGGGGGGAAAGTGTCTGGACTGGAAGGGGGGGGGGGGGGGGAAGTGTCTGGACTGGAAGGGGGGGGGGGGGGGAAGTGTCTGGACTGGAAGGGGGGGAAAGCGTCTGGACTGGAAGGGGGGGAATTGTGTCCGGACTGGAAGGGGAAGGGGGGGAGGGGGGGGGGGTGGAAGTGTCCGGACTGGAAGGGGAGGGGGGTGGAAGTGTCCAGACTGGAAGGGGAGGGGGGTGGAAGTGTCCAGACTGGAAGGGGAGGGGGGGGAAAGCGTCCGGACTGGACATGGCAGGAAAAGGGTTAAACCCTATACACAAATCCTGCCCCAGTGGTTTCATCTCACTGAACAAGTCATACACTAAGAATGTATTTGCTTTGAACGAACTATTTGTAGTTGAACCATTCTCCTGTTTTGTTTTTCAGAAGTGATGATACTCGAAGGGGATCCTACCATGAATTTACTTCTACAGATAGGACTTATTATGAGAGCGTCCGCACAACAACAGGCACCTACCAGGACGAAACCAGACGAGAGTACCCAGCCCGCAGCAGAGAATTCTACCAAGAATGGGAGTCCTACCAAGGAGATTACTACGAACAGCGCTACTACGATGAATCCAGAGAATATAGAGACTACAGGGATCCATATGAACAGGATATACGGGAATATAGCTACCGACAGAGGGAAAGGGAGCGAGAACGGGAACGGTTTGAGACGGACCGCGATAGGGATAGTGAACGGAGGCAGATAGAGCGAAGCCAAAGCCCAGCACGCTCAAGGAGACCTCAAAGTCCTGCAGGATCCCCCTCACAATCCGAGCGGATTACAAGTGACCCAGAGCGAAGAATCTATAGCCGGTCCTCTGATCGCAGCGGTAGCTGCAGTTCTGTTTCTCCTTCCAGATTTGACAAACTGGACAAAGCCCGGGCTGAGCGCTACATCAAAAGCGATAAACTCGACAAAGAGCATACTTTTGATTCAGAAAGATCCGATAAAGAGAAGCGTCTGTTACGGAAAGAAAGGACTGATAAACTACTGGAAAAAGATAAAGCAGACCGAGCCAAGCGAAAGTCCAAAAACCATTCAACAAGTTCTCAGTCTTCAGAAACCGATCAAGACAATGAAAAGGAGCCAAGTCTGGAGAAACAAAAAGGGAGCAGCAAGCTGTTGGCCAGAGAGAAGAATGACAAGGACTCTGCATCAAAAAACCGGTTGGATCTCATGCCTTGTGTGGTCCTTACTCGTGTGAACGAAAAGGAAGGGAAAGTTTTTGATCCCTCTGGTTTAGAAAAAGTCGTCAAGGCTAAGGCAGACAGCGAATCCATGAAGTCTCCGCCTTTGGATCCGAAGGCTCAGCTGATGCGTCTTGAGCAGTCCAAATTTGAGCTATTGAAAGCGGACTCGAGAAGTAAAGTGCCAAAAGACAAACTGCTCTCTAGCCATGTTGAAGTTGTTGATAAAGAAAGCAAACAAAAACTAAAGAAGCACTTAAAGCCGGAAACGCCTACCGAAGGCGCGTCTGCCGCGGACTTGGACAAGCTAGAAGCTCGGAAAAGGAGGTTTGCCGATGCAAATTTAAAGTGCGAGCGTCAAAAACTTGACGTTCGCCGAAACAATGCAGACGAGGATGACCTTCGCTTGTGCTCAAGGAAACCATTAGATCCTGCATCTTCAAGAGAGTTCGCTCTGCTTCGGGAAGGAGATTTTGATAGGAAAAGCTCAAGGAAAGAACTTTTAAAAAGGGAAAGTAGAAAAAGCAAATCTGAAAGACTTTTCAATATCAGTAGCCCTAAAGACAGCCAAGACCACAACCTTTCCATTCGCTCAAACTCCGATCTTCAGCTGCGTTTAGGAGAACCAGTAGATGAACCGTTTGACTCCCCAGATGCCTCCAGTAAAAAGATGAACTTCCTGAAGAATCTTCAAAGACATGTGCAGATGGGGGATGAAATGGACAAAGATGCCTTGAAAGATGATAGAAAAGCCTATTCCAGTCTCTTGAGGGAAAGCATGGGCCTGGAGAGGCCAGAGACTGAAGAAAAGCTTGCAATCGATATAGACTACACACAAAGTTACCGAAAGCAGATGGAACAAAACCGCAAACTGAAGCAGCAGATGGAGCTGGAGATCCTGAAGTCTGAAAAGTTTGGCAGTCCCAGCAAAGAAGCCGAAGAGTATGAAGGCGTAGCCTTGTGCATGAAGTCGGCAAACCACCACAGGATGTCACCGATGATTCTCCACCAAGTAAAAAAAAAAAGGCTGACCACACGGACTTCGAAATCACCAAGCCTGAAAGACATTACAGAAGCTCCCGACAGATAAGCGACGAATCGGAAAGAACTTCTTGTTCTCCAAGTGTTCGTCCGTTCATGTTTAGTGAGGACGACTTTACAATTGGCTCTCCGAGGTTACTGCCAATCAAAGAATTCAAAGAGTCTCCTCAAGTGGATGAAAAGAACATGTTCCCCAGCTTGGGTCTTAAAGAGGAACCCTATAAATTGCTATCCAGCGACTTGGTGAAGAAAGAACATCTTAGCGATTTTGCCAAAGCTAAATTTACCGCTGTGAGCCCTGAAGAGGAGTATGGCAGATGGGATAGCCAAATCAAACAGGAGAGCAACAGAATGGACATTAGCTTTCCTAGCAACATTATATAAAAAGAGAAGGGATCCGTAAACGCTCCAAGGACCTTGAACCCGGGGAGGTTGCCACAGACTCTGACGAAGATAGCGATCATAAATCTGCTTCACCGAAAGTGTCTTCATTACTTGACGGCTCAAGATTTTCTTTTTTGCTGCGGGATGGAGACGATAAACGAGACAAGGAGGAGAGGCTGTCTGGCTCTCTAGAAAGACATCGCTTCTTAGATAAGACCATTACTCCTGACACAAAAGCCTTGCTTGAAAGAGCCAAATCCCTTTCCTCTTCCCGTGAAGAGAATTGGTCTTTTTTGGAATGGGACTCCAAGCTCGCCAGCTTCCGCAGCAATAAAGAGAGAGAGAAAGTTGATTCGGCACCGAGGCCCATACCATCCTGGTATATGAAGAAGAAAAAGATCAAGACCGATTCCGAAGGAAAATCGGATGATAAAAAAGATGATCACAAGGAAGAGGAACAGGAAAAGCAGGAGCTGTTTGCCTCTCGGTTTCTTCACAGTTCTATCTTTGAACAAGACTCCAAACGTTTGCAACACCTGGAGCGGAAAGATGAGGATAGCGACCTGGGCATCCTACGTCCTTATGGGAGGCAGATCTCTTCTGATGGCATCAGCAGCACTCCAGAACTTGTGCAGGAACCAGTCGTACTCTTTCACAGTCGATTCATTGAACTGACGAGGATGCAGCAGAAAGAGAAGGAAAAAGATCAAAGACCCAAAGAGCAAGAAAAGCCTGAAGAAAAGGAATATCAGCCAAAGACGCCCGAGACTGTTCCTGAAAGCAAAGAACGAGAGAACAAGTCTCCCGTGTCTATTGTGCCAACACCAGCACCAATTCCTCAGCCAGAACATGTAGCAGCACCTCCTCCTGAGAAAATAGTTGTGGAGAAAACACCATCACCACCTGCTGTTCCAGTGATCGAAGAAAAGCCAGCTGAGCCTTGTGAGACAGTTGCTGAGGAAACGTCTTCTCCGAAGGTTGTGGCCCCAGTTACCCCTCCAATCGCTGTCCATCCACCAACCCCAGTGGAAACTGTTCAAGTTGTCGATGAGACAAATGAGACTCCGGCTGTCCCTCCAGTTCCAGAGCAGCTACCATCTACGGAACACATTACATTCGTGGATACAAAACCGCCAACACCTGGCACTTCATTTTCAGAAGTCAACACTGACCCCGTCACAGAGATAAAACCAGTGACGCCAACAACCTCCCCTTCCAAGGCTGATGACAAGGTTGAAGAAGTTGAGGCCTTTGAAGAAAGCACTCCAGTGTTTACGGGTACAGAGACAGACTCATGTGAAAAGAACGAAAATGTTCCAGAGGAAGCAGAGCCGCTTATTTCTGAAAATGATTTGGAAGCAGAGGCTCCCATCACAGCCAAGAACAAAAAGGCCTCTAAAGGCAAAAGGTCTAGTGCCGCAGATAAACCAGCAACAAGAAAAAGCGTCAGGATCGACCGCGAGAAACGCAATCGTTCTGCTTCTCCTCGCGTTGAGCCCCCAAAGCATTCGGAAACTAAAGTTGAACATGACAGGAGCTCAAGGAGCACAGCCAAGTCTCCAAGTGCTGTTCCAGAACCTGAAGTTTCGGAGCTAAGCTTGCCTGTGTCCCGAACACGCAGAAACGTCAGATCTGTCTATGCTACCACCGGTGATAATGATGGACCTTCTGCTAAAGAATCTACCGATGCTCCTCGATCCACTCGGAAGAGACCAGAAAAAGATGTTCAGGAGACTCCAGTTGCTGTACCCAGCACACCAAGGAGAGGACGGCCACCCAAAGTCCGCAAGAAAGCTGTTGGAGATGTGTCGCCTATTAAAGCTGAGGCATTAAAACAAGATACAGAAGATACCGAAAGCAAGGAGGTAGTAGAGAATGCAAAACCAACTGAAGGATGGCGATCTCCTCGCTCTCAGAAATCCTCACAGAGCCATTCTCCTGTGTCTAGCAACCATCAGGGTAAAAAGGGTAAAGGTGACCCTATGCCACAGTCCATGGAGTGCTCGGGAGAATCAAACGAAGAATGCCCTGAAACCACGGCGGCTGCCACTGAAGAGGAGTGCAAGCCAAAACTGGCCAAAGAGGAACTTTCTGAAGTTAACAATGACTTAAAAGATATAGAGATGGATAAAACCCCCGTAGAGAATCCTACTACTGATGCAGCAGAGAAGAAAATATCTATAGAAAAAGCCCCAAAGTCAAAAGTCGGAAGACCTAAAAATACAAAGAACCTTCTACGCATGAAAAGTGTGGAAATTCGCCTTAATGCCGATGAGGTAAAGGGTGCATTGAGACCGCATGAAGATGGTGAGCCAATGGTGATATCTCCTGTCAAAATCAAAAGCCCTCAAAAGGAAGATAACTCATCTCCACCCTTTACAAAGCCAGAAACCACATCTTTTCCAGAAACGCCTGAAAAAGAACCTGCAAAAGAACCCAAAATTTCACCTGAAGAGGCCCAGCTGGCCCGACAGATAGAACTGGAACAGGCTGTGGAAAACATTGAGAAAATCACTGAAACGGCCACTATTCCATCCTATAAAGAGCAGCAGGGAGGGGAGGTGGCAGAATCTCGCCCCGAAGAGGACAGCGATAAACCTGCACACCAGGCCAGCGAGACAGAACTGGCAGCAGCCATCGGCTCCATCATTTGTGACATTTCTGCAGACGCTGAAAGCTTCCCTCCAGCTCCACCATATCCACCAGGAGAAGCTGAGATAACACCCGACCCTGCCGCTGTTCCAGCGGCTCCCCAGCAAGATGACTTGGAGCCCGAGGCCAATCAGGCAGTCGGTGTCCTTTTACAAGACAACCGTACCCCCAGCTCTGAAGGCGCCCTGCCTGCTCCTGTTTCCTCATCTCAGGCAGAACCTGTAGTAGACAAAGAACCAGAGTCTTCAAGTAAAGTTCGAGAACCGGTGCGTGTGCCTGAAACAGAGATGATTCCGAAGAGGACTCGAGGTCGGGCACCTTCCAAGAAAAACGAAAAACGAAAAACTTACAAGAAGAGTGAGCCGGTAGACACGAACGTGTTTGTTCATGAAGGTGCAAAAGGCAAATCCCCCAGAGGAGAGGAAAAGATCTCAGATGAAGGACCGAAGGAGCCGTCTGGGGAAATTCCTGCGGCGCCCAGCCCTGAGAAGCAGAATCTGGACACAAGCTTGAATTCCTCATCTGATGCGGTCTCCAAGGATGGCGATGAAGAATTTAAAGATGAAGACAGACCCGAGTCCACCAATGTGTGCGATTCACCCCAGCAGCTTATCATCGATGATGTCAGTCAGGGCAGTTTCAAACTTCGCTCAAGTACTGAGAATGCCCCGGTTACTCCACCTAGCATTACTACCCCTCCGGCTCTGCCAGCCACCCCAGGAAAGACTGCACCTTCATTGCCTGCCTCTCTCCCACATTCTGCACCAGCCATCTTACCTGACTGGATGGTAAGGCATGACGAAAACACAGCCATTTCTACCCCACCTCCTGCTTTACCCCCGGACACCAAGGCCTCCGACGTTGACACCAGTTCAAGCACCTTAAGAAAGATATTAATGGAGCCCAAATACGTATCTTCACCTGTTAATACCCCTAGTATTGTCACGGCCGCCATCTCTGAGCCCGTGTCCGTCTCGCATATTGAAGAACCTACTCATCCTCAAGTTGAAGCAATTAAGCCACTTTCAGAAGAAAAATCAGCAGTTCCGCTCACCAACACGGCAGTCCCACCAGCAGCTGAGGCCCCCGTCTTTCAGGAGAAGGCCACCATCGTGACCCCCAAGGCTACCTCAGTCATTAGTAGAATGCCGCACAGCTTCGATCATGATGACTTGCCGAGAATCACATTGGCAAAACATTCTACACCGCATCAGCCAGCCCCACCATGTATCCCATCTCAAAAGAGCAAGCAGAGACAGAACACAAACGACTCCCGGGCATGCTTGAAGCAGACAATGACTGTTATAGAAGATCGACCTGCGGAAACCGGGCCTAGTCCTGGCCTCAGGGTGAACACCTCCCAGGGGGTGATGCTCCTTAGTTACTCCGGTCAGAAGACGGAAGGCCCCCAACGCATAAGCGCAAAAATCAGCCAGATCCCTCCGGCCAGCGCTGTGGACATCGAGATTCAACAGTCGGTGTCAAAGACGCAGATTAAACAGGAGCCGCTTCAGCCATCTCAGATATTGCCAAAAGGGCCGCAGACACCGACAAGTTACCAACCCTACAACGCCTCCCCCGTTATCTCTACCATCAAAGCAGAACGTTCTTGTTTGGAAAAGCCCGAATCCAGTCACATCACTGTTCCCAACGCTTCCTCGCAGCCCGCTGGAGTTAAAGTGCTGACCCCGAATTCGACACCGGTGCTGATGCACAGTCAGATACTGTCAGGTCAGATGGTTTCTTCTGGAAAGAAGCTCTCCGATCTGAAAGAGTCTAAAGGCCTTCAGTCTACCAATATGAGCCCTCACCACTCTTCTCTGTCGGGGAAGATGCAGCCAGACTCCAATCATGTGACCTCTGGATCCAGTACGTCAGCTGACAGAGCATTACCACATCTCAACATTAAACAAGAGCCTCATTCTCCGTGTACCACCGGGCACGCCTCATCTCCCTTCTCCAGGCCCTGTCACCCGAGTGTTACCGCTTCCCCTGCCTTAACTAGCAACCCATCTGTGATGCTGGCCCCTGGACTACCAGTGCCACCATACATACCCAGCATGCACCCAGAACAAACTGTTATCATGCCCCCGCACAGCGTATCTCAGTCTGTGTCACTGGGCCACCTACCACAGGGGGATGTCAGGATTAACACCCCGCCATTACCAGCAATGCAGTACAGCATGCGACCAGAAGCACTTCACTCCCCCCGAGCAGCTATGCAGCCTCAGATGGATGTGCGACCTCAACGGTCCAACACCCCGCAGCCAGCACCTATCCGAGAGATGGTACTGCCCACGTTGTCTTCCCAACATGGTGCCGATGAGGATATTCACTACCACCATCCTGTCAGCCGGGGCCCATCTCACGTGCAGTCCGATGTGCTGGTGATGCAACCTGAATACCGCATGCCGGGGTCGGGAATGCGGCTCGATCCGTACAGCGTCCCCCAAGATGTCATAATACCACGCGATGTCCGTATGATGATGCATTCTCATATCACCGCTGTGGGAGAACACCACCAGGAGAGCAGGCAGTCCCGAACACCCGAGGGATCACGGAGCATGACACCATCCCAGGTAAGAGCCGACTGTCCACATCTATGTAAGACAGAAAAAAGGGGGAAAACCAGACCATACAATATGTGAATACATTATACAGTGTTACATAGTTAGGCTGGCTGAAAAAAAGACAATACGTCTATCCAATCAACCATAAAAAAAGGTTATAATCCTCCACCCACAGCTGAATGTGTGAAAAAAATATATATTCTGAAACAATAGTGAACCAATCAGTGAACTGCTGCTACACTTTCCCTGAACGCCAGAAAATACAAAACATATAAAAATGAGTGCGCTGTACACGTAAAAAAATCATAAACAATTCATAAATATAATAAATGGCGTCCTCTGGGATTGGAGAACGGTCGTATAGCGACATCAGCCGTCATATGGAGATTTTTTTCTTTGTGTCAAGCATTTGTGAACACCTATATGCGCTTTCCGTTGGAGGATTTCTTTAGCACGCAGCACTGTGTTATTGGATTTTGGGACTTTCAATTATTTAGCCACCTCATGTCCGGCACATGTACAGACACGTCCAGACGGGAGCAGATGCAGGAGCGGGTTACTGTTCATAAACGCGCCCGCCATTTTAGCCTGTGCGCTCTCCCCTGGAGATCTGGTGCCTCTGTGTCCAGAGAAACCACCGATCGTCATACAGGACCTCTGTGTGAGATCCCAATCGTGATCACTGAATTGGCCAATCAGTGATCACATGAATAGTAGTAAGCAAGATATGTCACTTTCTGACATCTGCTTACTACTTGTGAAATCCCTGTGAATGACCACAGAGATCATATGGCACAGGGCTATTCACAACAGCCTTGTACCATGTGACAAGCAGTGTGACCAATCACAGCTCACACAGTAGTTCTCAATGGCTGCAGGAATGCAGCCAGAGAGAAGGAGAAATGATTTCCTCTTAAAGCCAATCAGTGTATAAAAAAAAAATCTCATCACCCCCCCACAAGTAGTACAGTGTCACCATGGTAACAATATACTGCTAGGGTGACAGTAATGTTAAAAAAATAAATAATAAATATATAAAATGTAAAAAACTATTTTGAAAAATAATTTTTGGTTAGAAACAAATTTGGGTTATGTTTGTTTTTAACTAAAAAGATTAACGGAATACATTTATGGGCCGAGAAATTATGAATGAAATATATATTTTATTTGCAAAATTTTTATGAGAAAAAAACACTTTTTTAAAAACATTTTTGGACTTTTTCATTTATATAGCAAAAAAAATAAAACTCCCAGCGTTGAATAAAGACCACCAAAATAAAGCTTTATGTGTCTCAAAAAAAATGCTAAAAAATTAATCTGGTTACGAAGCGAAGCATGGACCGTCGCGCAATTGCCCAATTCAAACTGTGACAGCGCTGAAAGCTGAAAATTGGCCTGGGACTGGAGGGGAAGTGGTCCTGGACAGGAAGGGGGGGGGAAGTGTCCGGACTGGAAAGGGGGGAAGTGGTCCGGACTTAGGACAAGAGGGGTGGGAAGTGTCCCGGGCACTGGAAGGGGGGGAAGTGTCCTTGGACCGAAAGGGTGGTGAAGTGTCCGGACTGGAAGGTGGGGAAGGTGGACCGGAACAGGAAGGGGGGGGAAGTAGTCCCCGTCACGACTGGAAGAAAAGGGGGGAAAGTGTCCGGAGCTGGATAGGGGGGGAAGATGTCCGGGTACTGGTAAGTAGGGGAAGTGTCCTGTGCTGGAAGTGGGGGAATGTGGTACCGGTGACTGGAAGGGGGGGGAGGGGTGGGAAAGTGTCCGGCGGCTCTGGAAGGCAGGGGGGGGGGGGGGAAGTGGTGCCGGCTCTGGAAGTGGGGGGGGGGGAAAGTGTCCAGCAAACTGCAACAGACCTGGAAGGGTGTCTGTTTATTCCCTGTCCCAGGAAGGTGTTATTAATGTTTAGAGGCATTCTTTAGTGTACAGCGCACACTTTCCTTTTTTATCTGTTCAGATCTGTCGTCTGTGATCACAGTGTATTTCAGCAAGTCAGTCGGTGAGTAGTTTTGTCTCTTCTGAGTCCCCCATAACCCGGTTTTATCTGTTGATTCTGACAGATTGCAGATTCTCCCTTTATCAGGGATGACGGGTAATCTCCGCGCAACCTTCCGTCACCCTGTGGGCAGAGCAGGTAAAGCAACCTGCGAGCATACGCCCCTGTGTGAAACGCTGCAGCCGTAGATGAACCTGACTTCTGTGTGGGTGCATGTCTCTGAACGCAGTGCAGCGCAGTGTGACAACCCCGCACACCACATTGTGTGGTGTTCAGCAGACTGCCTTGAGCAATGGGGATCCGCATCTAATCCCTAGCTATCACACCAGTACCAGGGCAAATCACGGACCCTCACAGACGACGGGTGGTATGTCTGAACCCCCTCGATGGCGGAGGTAAAAACCCAAAAACACCCTAACGACCTTGACACAATTCCCTGCAACTTTTGGACATGGTTAGTAAAACTACTGTACGGATCACAGCAGCGACCTTCCGACCAGAGTATGGCGCCTCTGTTTCAGGACAAATTTGGCCTTTTATAATTGGGGTGGTAAATGGTCACCTGATTATCTCCTGAGCTATAGTTTTTTTTTGTACTTTTTATTGTCACAGACAAATTGGTCCCAAAATAGTATATACAAAGACAAAAAATGTTTTTAAATGTAGCCTTTATATATCTTGCTATTACCATAACCAAACGACGAAAGAACAGGCCAGCAATACATTCTCCTGCTCCTGAGTGGATGGCAGCCACAATGTTGTACCCATAAATGATGTATACAATTGTAAATGTAGTAATACAATCCCTGATGTATACAAAGTCAGATATAATGATATCCGGATGGTATACAATGTATGATATAATATATCCCGGATGTATACACATGTATGATAATAATATTTGCCCAAAAATTCCCGGATGTATATACAATGTATTGTTATAACAATATCCCGGATGGTATACACTGTATGAATATATATATCCTCGAATGTATGATAATGATATATCCCCGGATGTATACAATGTATGATATGATATATCCAGATGTAAATACAATGTATGATATGTATATATCCCGGATGGAATATACCAATGTATGATATAATATATCCCGGATGTATACCAATGGTATGATATCAATATATCCCGAATGTATGATCATAAATAGTATCCGCCGGATGTATAACAATGTATGATATGATATATCTCCCGGATGGTATGAGATAATATATCCCAGGGATGTATAGCACATATATGATATGATATATCCCGGATGTATACAATGTATGAATATTAGATAATATTCCCGTATGTAATGAATATGATATATTCCCGTGAAGTATTACAATAGGTATGATATAATATATCCCCGAATGAGTATAGATATGATTATATCCCTGATGTATACAATGTAATTGATATGATATATCCCTGATGTATCACAATGTGAAGATATAATATATCCCGGATGTATACAATGTAAGATATAATATATCCCGATGTATACTATTATAGATATAATATAATCCCCGAAAGTTATGATAATGATATAAGCCCGGATGTATACAGATGTAATTATATGATATATCGCCGGATGTATACAATGTATGATATAATATATCCCTGATGAATACAATATATGATATGATATATATCCCGTATGTATACAATGTATATGATACTATATTCCCGGATGTATGAAATGATATATCCCCGGATGTATACAATGTATGATATAATATATCCCGAATGTTATGATATGATATATCCCGGATGTATACAATGTATTATATGATATATCCCGGATGTATACAATGTAATGATATAAATGAAATCCAATGTAACAATGTATGATATAATATATTCCCGGAAAATGTATACAAATGTATGAATATAATATATCCCGGAGTATAACAATGACATAGAATAATAAGATCCCGAAAAATGTAGTACAAATGTATAGATATGATATATCCCGATGTAATACAATGTATGAAATGATATATCCCTGGATGTATACAATGTATGATATGATATATATCCCGGATGTTATACAATGAAATTGCTAAGAATATCCCGGATGTATACAAAAATGTATGATATGATATCTTATCCCGGATGTATTACAATGTAGATAAAATAAATAACCCGGATGAAATACAATGTAATACATATGATAAATCCCGTTGATTGTATACAATGTAACCCCACTCCAGCCATCTAGGTCCTCTTCGTTTTGGCTGCAAATCTTCTAAGTGAAGACCAGCCAGGTCTGAAGATACGCCGGGCCCCCCCCAGACCCGCCCCCCGCCACTTATGTTTGCCAATCCTGCAGCCTCCTAGAAGTGGATGTACATATTCCCAAAACGGAGGCTGCAGGCTGGAATGGCCCACAGGGAGCAGACTAAATATTGAAAAAACAAATTCCCAGCAATGCTGCTTGCCTAGGCTGGTGTGGTTGGTAAAAGCTCGGAACGAACAGCTCAGTCCAATCCAAAGCAATGTGCTTACAGTGATTGCACACAGAATAACCCCCCCCGCCCCCTAGTAAAAACAACTCCCAGCACACAGACACCCGCCCCCTAGTAAAACACTCCAGCACACAGAACACCGCCCCCTAGTAAAACACTCCCAGCATACAAGACCCCCCCCTAGTAAAACACTTCCAGCACAACAGAATCCGCCGCCCCCTAGTAAAACAACTCCCAGCACGACAGATCCCGCCCCCTAGTAAAACACTCCCAGCACACAGAACCCCCGCTCTCTAGTAAAACACTCTCCCAGCATACAGACCGAAAAACCCCCTAGTAAAACACTCCCAGCACACAGATCCCGCCCCCTAGTAAAACAACATCCCAGCACACAGACCCCGCTCTCTAGTAAAAACACTCCCCACATACAGAACCCACCCATGATAAAAAACACTGCTCCCATCCAACAGAACCCCGCCCGCCCCTAATTAAAACACTCCCAGCACACAGATCCCGCCCCCTAGTAAAACACTCTCCAGCACACAGATACCCGCTCTCTAGTAAAAACACTCCCAGCAATACAGACCCACCCCCATAGTAATTGAAAACACTCCCACACACAGATCCCGCCCCCTAGCTAAAACACTCCCGCCCACCCCACAGAACCCCCGCCTCCTAGTAAAAACACTCCCAGCATACAGACCCACCCCCAAAAAACACTCCCAGCACACAGACCCCCGACCCCCCTAGTAAAACTCCTCCCAGCACACCGACCCCGCCCCCTAGTAAATACACTCCAGCACCACATACCCCGCCCCCATAGTAAAAACTCGCCAGCACACCCCCCCCACTATCCCCTCTCTAGAAAAAACACTCCCAGCCACACAGACCCCACGCACCCCTCCAGCTTAAAACACTCCCAGCACACAGAACCCCGCACCCCCCAAGTAAAACACTCCCCAGCACACAAATCCCCGCCCCCTAGTAAAACCCTCCCCAGCAACAACCCCACCCCCCTAAGTAAAACACTTCCAGCACACAGACCCTCCCCCTAGTAAAACACTAGCCCCCTCACCAGACCCCGCCCCTATAAAACCCACCCAGTCCACACAGACCCCGCCCCCTAGTAAAACCACTCCCACACACAGCCCCCGCCCCCTAGTAAAAAACCACTCCCAGCACAACCAGACCCCCCCCCCTAAGTAAAACACCCGCTCCCAGCACACAGACCCACCGCCCCCCCTAGTAAAACACCCCAGCACACAGACCCCCCCCCCCTAGTAAAACACTCCCAGCACAACAGACCCCCGCCCCCTAGTAAAAACACTCCCAGCACACAGACCCCCGCCCCCTAGTAAGAACACTCCCAGCACACAGACCCGCCCCCTAGTAAAACACTCCCAGCACACACCGCCCCACAACCCCACCCCCCCTAGTAAAACACTCCCAGCACACAGACCCCCCCCCCTAGTAAAACACTCCCAGCACACAGACCCTCCCCTAGTAAAACACTTCCCAGCACACACAGAACCCCAGCCCCCCTACCCGGCGTAAAACACTCCCAGCACACAGACCCCCGCCCCCTAGTAAAACACTCCCAGCACACAGACCCGCCCCCCTAGTAAAACACTCCCAGCACACGACAGACCCCCCCTACTAGTAAAAAACACTCCCAGCACACAGACCCCCCGCCACCCTAGTAAAACACTCTCCAGCACACAGACCCCGCCCCCTATAAACACACTCCCAGCACACAGACCTCCCCCACCCCCCTACGTAAAACTCTCCCAGCACACAGACCCCACTACCCTAGTAAAAACACTCCCAGCACACAGACTCCCCCCCCTAGTAAAACACCCCCAGCACACAGACCATTTCCCACCCCCTAGTAAAACACTCCCAGCACACAGACCCGCCCCCTAGTAACAACACTCCCCAGCACACAGACCCCCGCCCCCTAGTAAAACACTCCCAGCACACCACAGACCCCCCGCCCCCTAGTAAAACACTCGCCAGCCACACAGACCCCGGCCCCCTAGTAAAACACTCTCGGCCAGTCCACACAGACCCCCCGTGAACCCTAGTAAAACACACCCCAGCAGCCACAGACCCCGCCCCCTAGTATAAAACACTCCCAGCACACAGACCCCACCCCCTAGTAAAACACCCCAGCACACGGGGCCTCCCCCCCCCCCCTAGTAAAACACTCCCAGCACACAGGGGGAAGACCCCTCCCCCTAGTAACAAACACTCCCAGCACATTTTTATGTAGCAGTATTTTATTTGATTTATCCCCCTTCCCTGTCCAGTGTCCATTAGTACAGTGTCTGGGCTTTTTTTTTAGCACCGATCACTGTAATATTGGTGTTCACTGGGGGATGTCAGTGACCCAAGAATCCATTCCCCCCCCCACCCCCAGTGTCACAGAATGGCCCACCGCGTCAGTCCACCCCCTATACAAGTCGCTGATTGCGCCATTACTAGTGGAAGTATTAGGAAATGTACGCTGTAACAAAGCTGTGCGTGCTCAACTTGGAACCCCAGGGTGTCCTGGCCCTATGGAGCCCACTTCCTCCGCAGTCCATTCTTTCCTTCCTGGCTTCGGTCTGGGGATGTGGATTGTATTCAGGCGTCTAGTATCAAGTTCCTGACACGCTTTTTCATGGATTTGTTTTCATGAGGATCGCCCCCGATACCGAACATGTCAAGCATTCAAACCCCCCGGGACGCAGCAAAACTCCACAAGTCAGCCAGGACCCCAAGGCAGCTCAGGTCATCCCGTTTGGTGAGCCAGTCTCACCATGCAGCTTCCTTAGCAAGCCACCCCCCCAGCCAACTGGAGTCCCCCTCAACCAGCACCTCCAGAGGGGCATCCTGTGGAGCACGTCCGCCAATGTGAGTCCCGCCCCTAACCCATATCCCCCTTCACCATCAACCTGACTGCAGGACCGACCTTCCCCTCACCAGTCCTCAGAAAACAGACCCCCTTCATGTCCGCCCTGCCGCTACCCCCTCCCAGATTCCGACCTTCCCCAACACAAGAGCCCTCCTCAGAGATCAGTGGACACTGGTGCAGCAGCTGGACGGTGAGTATGGTGCACACACACTCCCCCCCCCCGGAGGACGGGAGGCTCAGAGGGTGGGGGGGGGGACCGGAGGGTGTACGGGACGGTGATGTCGGGAGGGTGGGGGGAAAAGAAGGGTCGGGTGGACGGGAGGTCGGTGAGGGTGGGGGTACGGGGAGTCGGAGAGGTGGGGACGGAGGACTGGAGGGTCGGGAGGTCGTGAGTACGGCTCCGCAGCAGTCCTGGACCCTTTACTGAATAAATATTGATTTGGATTGTTGGTGGTCACTTGGCTGGATAGCGCTTGTAGTTTTACATTTTGTGTGATCGATTCAGAATTGTGCCCGGCCTATTATATCCGGAAACTTGTGGCTGCAGAAATACGGCAATGGGAGACAGTCCCTGCACATGGTCCCTTCCCCCTGCACATATACATCCCCCATCCCTATAAACCCTCCCCCAGTCCCCCCTCCTACTTACCCTCCTCCCCTCCCCCCCTACCTTACACCCTCCCCCCTCCACCCCTCCACCCCTCCACCCTTCCCCCCCTCTTCCTTTCCCTCTTACCTCCCCCCCTCCCCTACCCCCCCCCCCCTCCCCCCACCCCCCCCCCCCCTCCAATTCTCCCCCCTCCCCCCCTACTCCTCCCCCCTCCCCCCACCCCCCCCCGCCTCCCCTAGCCTATTCCCCCCCCCCCCACGCTACACCGCTCCCCCCTCCCCACCCCCCCTCCAACCTTACCCCCCCCCCCCCCCCCCACCCTCCCCCTGGTTCCCAACCCCCCCCTCCCCCCCTGACTCACCTCCCCTAACCCCCTCCTCTAGTGCGACCACACCCCCCCCCCTCTACCCCCCCCCCCCCCCCTTAACCCCCGCCCCCCCCCCCTCTTACACCCCCCCCCCTACCCTCTTACACCCTCCCTCCCCCCCCCTCCACACTCCCTTCCCCACCCCCTCCCCCCTTACACCCGTCCCTATACCCCCCCCCCCCCCCCCCCCCACCCCCCCCCCCCCCTCCCCCCCCCCTCCCTCCCCCCCTCCCCCTTACCCCTTTCCCCTCCACCCCCCCCCCTTCCCACCCTCCCTCCCCCCTTCCCTTCCCTACTTACACCCCTTCCCTCCTCCCCTTCCTACCCTCTTACCCCCCTCCCCCGCCCCCTTCCCTTACACCCTTCCCCCCCCCCCCACCGCCCCCTTCCCCTTCCCTCCGCCCCCCCCCCTTACACCCCCCCTCCCCCTCCGCACCCCCCATCCTTCCTCTCGCCCCTTCCCTTACAAAGTACCCTCCCCCCCCTTAGTCCCCCTTACACCCTTCCCTCCCCCCCCTCCTCTTACACCCTTCCCTCCCCCCCCCCTCTCTTACACTCCCTTCCCTCCCCCCCCCTTACACCCATGAGGTTGGGTTATACAGACCTGTTGCAGATTGCAGTTGTTTCCATGTGATCTCTCAGTACATGAAGTTGGTTTCCTTTCTTGGGCCCGTCTTGTATATTATCAGAGAATTCCTATCTTAGTGATATTCTTCAGTTCTGGAAGGTTTCCATCATTCCTTCCTGACGATCTCTGCGTTGTCTTTCAGAAATACCCGATAGTGTGGCAAGGTCTCCCTCGCTCGACTGAAAGAACGACACGGCTGCTGTCCAGTTGCACTTTGTATCCGGGAATAACGTCTTGGCTCATCGGTCTCTGCCCGCCCCCGAGGGAGGACCTCGCCCTGAGGATCGCTCAGCGTATGAGGCTGGAAGCCACCCAGCTGGAGGGAGTCGCTCGCCGCATGATGGTGAGTTTTGCTGCAACTTCATTCTATGAGCGTTTCTGGTGTCTGGGCGGCAGGAGAGACACTTGGAAACGTCTTCACCATCGGTTTCCTGTTTGTTGCAGCCAGAAAGCAAACGTGATTGGTTATCGTCCACGGTCGTCCAATCTGAGTACTAGTACTCTGTAATTCCACATTAAACCCTCCCCCTCCAGAGGATTATCCCCCCCCCCCCCCAGAGGATTATCCCCCCCTCCCAGAGGATTATCCCCCCCCCCCCCCCCCCCAGAGGATTATCCCCCCCCCCCCCTCCCCAGAGGATTATCCCCCCCCTCCCCAGAGGATTATCCCCCCCCTCCAGAGGATTATCCCCCTCCAGAGGATTATCCAGAGGATTATCCCCCCTCCAGAGGATTATCCCCCCCTCCAGAGGATTATCCCCCCCTCCAGAGGATTATCACCCCCTCCAGAGGATTATCACCCCCCCCTCCAGAGGATTATCACCCCCTCCAGAGGATTATCACCCCCTCCAGAGGATTATCCCCCTCCAGAGGATTATCCCCCCCCCCCAGAGATTATCCCCCCCCCCCCCCTCCAGAGGATTATCACCCCCCTCCAGAGGATTATCACCCCCTCCCCAGAGGATTATCCCCCCCTCCAGAGGATTATCCCCCCTCCCCCCTCCAGAGGATTATCCCAGAGGATTATCCCCCCCTCCAGAGGATTATCCCCCCCCCAGAGGATTATCCCCCCCTCCCCAGAGGATTATCCCCCCCCCTCCCCAGAGGATTATCACCCCCCCCCCCCCCAGAGGATTATCACCCCCCCCCCCCAGAGGATTATCCCACCCCCTCCAGAGGATTATCACCCCCTCCAGAGGATTATCACCCCCTCCAGAGGATTATCCCCCTCCCCAGAGGATTATCCCCCCCCCCCCCCCCTCCCCAGAGGATTATCCCCCCCCCCCCCTCCCCAGAGGATTATCCCCCCCCCCCCTCCCCCCAGAGGATTATCCCCCCCCCCCCCCCTCCAGAGGATTATCACCCCCCTCCAGAGGATTATCCCCCCCTTCAGAGGATTATCAACCCCCTTCAGAGGATTATCACCCCCCTCCAGAGGATTATCACCCCCCTCCAGTGGATTATCCCCCCCCTCCCCAGAGGATTATCCCCCCCTCCCCCCCCAGAGGATTATCCCCCCCTCCAGAGGATTATCCCCCTCCCAGAGGATTATCCCCCCTCCAGAGGATTATCACCCCCCTCCAGAGGATTATCACCCCCTCCAGAGGATTATCACCCCCTCCAGAGGATTATCACCCCCCTCCCCCTCCAGAGGATTATCACCCCCCCCTCCAGAGGATTATCACCCCCCTCCAGAGGATTATCACCCCCCTCCAGAGGATTATCACCCCCCCTCCAGAGGATTATCCCCCCCTCCAGAGGATTATCACCCCCCCTCCAGAGGATTATCACCCCCCCTCCAGAGGATTATCACCCCCCTCCAGAGGATTATCCCCCCCCCTCCCCCTCCAGAGGATTATCACCCCCTCCCCCTCCAGAGGATTATCCCCCCCTCCCCCTCCAGAGGATTATCCCCCCTCCCCCTCCAGAGGATTATCACCCCCTCCCCCTCCAGAGGATTATCCCCCTCCCCAGAGGATTATCCCCCCTCCAGAGGATTATCACCCCCCCTCCCCCTCCCCAGAGGATTATCCCCCCCCTCCCCCCTCTAGAGGATTATTCCCCCCCCCCTCCCCCTCTAGAGGATTATCCCCCCCCCCTCCCCAGAGGATTATCCCCCCCCCCCCCCAGAGGATTATCACCCCCCTCCCCAGAGGATTATCACCCCCCCCTCCCCAGAGGATTATCCCCCCCCCTCCCCCTCCAGAGGATTATCCCCCCCCCCCCCCCCCCCAGAGGATTATCACCCCCCCCAGAGGATTTTCCCCTCCCCAGAGGATTATCCCCCCCCCCCCCTCCCCCCTTCCAGAGGATTTTATCCCCCCCTCCCCCTCCAGAGGATTATCCCCCCCCCCCCTCCAGAGGATTATCCCCCCCCCCCCCCTCCCCCTCCAGAGAATTATCCCCCCCCTCCTCCCCCCCCATAGAATTATCCCCCCCTCCCCCTCCAGAGGATTTTCTCCCCCCCCCCCCCTTCCTGACCAGGCCATTTTTTGCGTTATGGCGCTGCATTACTTTAACTGACAATTGCGCGGTCATGCAACGCCACACACATGATGTTTATGTCCTTTTTTTCCACTAACTCAGCTTTCTTTCGTGGTATTTGGTCGCCTGTGCGGTTTTTTATTTTTTGCGGTATAAAAAAAGACCGACAATTTTGAGAGAAAAACGATATTTTTGACTTTTTGCTATTAAACACGTCCAGTAAAAAAATGTAAAAAAACTCAAATTTCATCATAAATTTCAGCCAAAATGTGTTCCGCTCCGTGTCTTCGCTAAAAAAAATCCCGATACGTGTAAATTAATTGGTTGACGTGAAAGTTATAGCGTCTACAAATGGCGGGAGAGATAATGGGATTTTTTTTTTTTTTTTACTAATAATGGCGGCGATCAGCGACTTATAGCGGGTCTGCGGCGGGCATTCTGACATGGGGGGGGGGGGGGGGGGACCGACTTGGTGTCACTGACATCCCCAGTGACACCAATACAGTGATCAGTGCTAAAAAAGAAAGCCCTGACACTGTACTAATGGCACTGGGCAGGAAGGGGTTAACATGAGGGGCTATCAAAGGGTTAACTGTGTGCTGGGAGTGTTTTACTAGGGGGCGGGGTCTGTGTCCTTCACTGTACTCACACTGCTCAGGATGGCTGTGCAGTGTGCCCGAGCTGACAGGGAGGAGGACTGTTAGTAAACAAAACAGTCCTCCTCCCCATCGGAGATCCTCGGTAATCTCTGGGCACCAGCGGGTAATCTCCGGCCGGGACCCGGTAACTGAGGGCTGCATGGGTGGGTCGCTCACGTGTGCCCCCTACCCGAAACTGCAAAATGTATACGCAATTCTGCGCACCCCTGCCGCACTGTAGCAGTACATCTGTTGTGTGGGGGTGGGGTTAATGGAAACAAATGACACAAATTGTAACATTTCACCTTCCACTTTGTATAGTAACTGAAATGTTTACAATCAATAGGCCCCGCCTACTTCATTCTGTCTACAAAATCTGAGCTATGATGTCGGCATCCTCCATGCATTGCGCTGTGCCCCCCCCCATGCATTGCGCTGTGCCCCCCCCCATGCATTGCGCTGCGCCCCCCCCCATGCATTGCGCTGCGCCCCCCCCCCATGCATTGCGCTGCCCCCCCCCCCATGCATTGCGCTGCACCCCCCCCATGCATTGCGCTGCGCGCCCCCCCCCATGCATTGCGCTGCCCCCCCCCATGCATTGCGCTGCGCCCCCCCCATGCATTGCCCCCCCCCCATGCATTGCGCTGCGCCCCCCCCCATGCATTGCGCTGCGCCCCCCCATGCATTGCGCTGTGCCCCCCCATGCATTGCGCTGCGCCCCCCCCATGCATTGCGCTGCGCCCCCCCCCCATGCATTGCGCTGCACCCCCCCCATGCATTGCGCTGCGCCCCCCCCATGCATTGCGCTGCCCCCCCCCTCCATGCATTGCGCTGCGCCCCCCCTTCATGCATTGCGCTGCGCCCCCCCTCCATGCATTGCGCTGCGCCCCCCCCCCCCATGCATTGCGCTGCGCCCCCCCCCCCATGCATTGCGCTGCGCCCCCCCCTCCATGCATTGCGCTGCGCCCCCCCCATGCATTGCGCTGCGCCCCCCCTCCATGCATTGCGCTGCACCCCACCCCCCCCCCCCCTCCGAAACTTCTGAGGAAGTGAGGACGTAGTCATCCAATATGGCCGCTCCAGAGTCCAGTTCACACAGGAAATGCGCGCCATGTATGGAGCTGACAGCCGCCACAAGATCTCCCCACCAGGAGAGTCGTCTTTATTTGCCGTTTTGTTTAGTAAATCCAGTTTTGTTGCACATTTGCAGGTGGAGAGTGACTACTGCTTGTTACTTGCACTTCCATGTGGCCGTGATCAGGAGGACGTAGTGAACCAGACAGAGTCTCTGAAAGCCGCTTTCATCACCTACCTACAAGCAAAGCAGGCGGCGGGCATCATCAATGTACCCAACCCAGGATCCAACCAGGTGCGTCCCCTGTGTGATGTGTGGTCAGGGGGCTGGAGCTGAGGATAAGGGGGGAGTGGCCAGGAAGCTGGAGCTGAGGATGGGGGGAGTGGCCAGTGGCTGGATCTGAGGGTGGGGGAGTGGCCAGTAGTGGATCTGGCCGGGAGGCTGGAGCTGAGGGTGGGGGAGTGGCCGGGAGGCTGGAGCTGAGGATGGGGGGGGAGTGGCTGGGAGGCTGGAGCTGAGGATAGGGGATGGGGGGGAGTGGCTGGGAGGCTGGAGCTGAGGATGGGGGGGGGAGTGGCTAGGGGCTGGAGCTGAGGATGGGGGGGAGAGCTATGGCTGGGAGGCTGGAGCTGAGGATGGGGGGGAGTGGCCAGGGGGCTGAAGTTGAGGATGGGGGAGTGGCCGGGAGGCTGGAGATGAGGATGGGGGAGTGGCCGGGAGGCTGGAGATGAGGATGGGGGAGTGGCTGGGGGGTGGAGCTGAAGATGAGGGGGAGTGGACAGGGGCTGGAGCTGAGGATGGGGGGAGTGGACAGGGGCTGGAGCTGAGGATAAGGGGGAGTGGACAGGGGCTGGAGCTGAGGATAAGGGGGAGTGGACAGGGGCTGAGCCGAGGATGGGGGGAGTGGACAGGGGCTGGAGCGAGGATAAGGGGGAGTGGACAGGGGCTGGAGCCGAGGATAAGGGGGAGTGGACAGGGGCTGGAGCCGAGGATAAGGGGGAGTGGACTGGGGGGCTGGAGCCGAGGATAAGGGGAGTGGAGGGGTGAGCCGAGGATAAGGGGAGTTGACAGGGCTGGGGGAGTGGGGGAGTATTGGGGAGTTGTGATGTGTGTATGTGTAGTACCTGGGCGTGTCGTGTGTGTGTGTCTGTAGTACCTGGGGCGTGTGTGTGTCTGTAGTACCTGGGCGTGTCGTGTGGCGTCTGTAGTACCTGGGCGTGTCGTGTGTGTCTGTAGTACCTGGGCGTGTCGTGTGTATGTAGTACCTGGGCGTGTGTGGCGTGTGTCTGTAGTACCTGGGCGTGTGTCGTGTGTCTGTAGTACCTGGGCGTGTCGTGTGTATGTAGTACCTGGGCGTGTCGTGTGTATGTAGTACCTGGGCGTGGCGTGTGTGTAGTACCTGGGCGTGTGTTGTGTCTGTAGTACCTGGGCGTGTTGTCGTGTGTCTGTAGTACCTGGGCGTGTTCGTGGTGTGTCTGTAGTACCTGGGCGTGTGCGTGTATGTAGCACCTGGGCGTGTGTTGTGTATGTAGCACCTGGGCGTGTGCGTGTGTGTAGTACCTGGGCGTGTCGTGTGTTGCGTGTCTGTGTCTGCACCTGGGCGTGTTGTGTGTGTAGTACCTGGGCGTGTCGTGTGTATGTAGTACCTGGGCGTGTCGTGTGTGTAGTACCTGGGGCGTGTCGTGTGTATGTAGTACCTGGGCGTGTCGTGTGTATGTAGTACCTGGGCGTGTATGTAGTACCTGGGTGTGTCGTGTGTGTAGTACCTGGGCGTGTCGTGTGTGTGTAGTACCTGGGCGTGTCGTGTGTGTAGTACCTGGGCGTGTCGTGTGTCTGTAGTACCTGGGCGTGTCGTGTGTCTGTAGTACCTGGGCGTGTCGTGTGTCTGTAGTACCTGGGCGTGTCGTGTGTATGTAGTACCTGGGCGTGTCGTGTGTCTGTAGTACCTGGGCGTGTCGTGTGTATGTAGTACCTGGGCGTGTCGTGTGTCTGTAGTACCTGGGCGTGTCGTGTGTCTGTAGTACCTGGGCGTGTCGTGTCGTGTGTGTAGTACCTGGGCGTGTCGTGTGTGTGTAGCACCTGGGCGTGTCGTGTGTATGTAGCACCTGGGCGTGTCGTGTGTATGTAGCACCTGGGCGTGTCGTGTGTATGTAGCACCTGGGCGTGTCGTGTGTATGTAGCACCTGGGCGTGTCGTGTGTATGTAGTACCTGGGCGTGTCGTGTGTATGTAGCACCTGGGCGTGTCGTGTGTATGTAGGGCGTGTCGTGTATGTATGTAGTACACCTGGGCGTGTCGTGTATGTGTATGTAGTACCCTGGGCGTGTCGCGTGTCGTGTGTATGTAGCACCTGGGCGTGTCGTGTGTATGTAGTACCCGGGCGTGTCGTGTGTATGTAGCACCTGGGGTACGTGTGTATGGCACGTGTCGTGTGTATGTAGTACCTGGGCGTGTCGTGTATCAGTAGTACCTGGGCGTGTCGTGTGTATGTAGTACCTGGGCGTGTCGTGTGTATGTAGTACCCGGGCGTGTCGTGTGTATGTAGTACCTGGGCGTCGTTGTGTATGTAGTACCACGGGCGTGTCGTGTGTATGTAGTAGTACCTGGGCGTGTTGTGTATGTAGTACCCGGGCGTGTCGTGTGTATGTAGTACCTGGGCGGGCGTGTCGTGTGTATGTAGCACCTGGGCGTGTCGTGTGTATGTAGTACCTGGGGCGTGTGTGTCGCGTATGTCTGTAAGCACCTGGGCGTGTCGCGTGTGTCTGTAGCACCTGGGCGTGTCGTGTGTCTGTAGCACCTGGGCGTGTCGTGTGTCTGTAGCACCCGGGCGTGTCGCGTGTCTGTAGCACCTGGGCGTGTCGCGTGTCTGTAGCACCTGGGCGTGTCGCGTGTATGTAGCACCTGGGCGTGTCGCGTGTCTGTAGCACCTGGGCGTGTCGTGCGTGTATGTAGCACCTGGGCGTGTCGCGTGTATGTAGCACCCGGGCGTGTCGCGTGTATGTAGTACCTGGGCGTGTTGTGATGACACTGAACACGAGCCGCTCTGTTGGATGCACACATGTCCTGACTCCATGTTGTCTCCGCAGCCGGCGTACGTCCTGCAGATTTTCCCGCCCTGCGAGTTCTCGGAGAGCCATCTTTCCCGCCTGGCCCCGGACCTCCTAGCCAGCATCTCCAACATTTCTCCTCACCTAATGATCGTCATCGCCCTGGCCTGAGAGCGAAGCTCCACACATCTCCTCACCGGGCCGTTCGCCCCCGCCATCCCCACCGGACGGAGCTGGTTTCTGCCGCTTCCCAGGATGTTTACAGATTGCGTACAGGCGGGAGGCGCGGCCGGGCGGAGGAGGGGGCGGGGTCCCGCACCCAGCGATTGTGGGATATTCCATGGTGGTGACGGGTCGGTTTGCTCCTTGTGGTTTGTTTTTGTTTTTTTAAAAGAAGCTGAATCTGCCTTTGCACTAAATGAGTGACTCGGACCTGTGTACAGCATTCCCCTCCCCCCCCCCCCCCCCGCGTACAGCATTCCCCTCCCCCCTGTGTACAGCATCCCCCTCCCCCTGCGCGTGTATCATATTTCTGAGCGACTTGCTGCGACGGGGAAGTCCGGACTGTGGACTATGAGCAGGAACCTGTGAATACCGGACTAATGACCGAGGAGCGGGCCCGACGGACGAACCAACGCAGACCGCCGCCCATCGGTCCCGCCTGCTCCCAGGATTCCTCCATTTTTGGGATGTACAGTTTACATGGGAAAAAAAGAAAAAAAAAAAAAAAAAAAAACCCCCAGAAAAGGGAGCTCTATTTTCCTTTGGATATGATAGGACTCCATGGGTGTGTACATAAGTATATATAATATATATTATATATATATAAATATATATAATACGGACTCTAGAGAATCAGACCCCCATGACATAACATTTTTTTTAATCTGTGCCAAAAATGTGTTTTCAAAAAAAAAATCTTATTTTCATACTCGACGTATCGTCCCTCATTTGTAAGTGCTTTCCATGAAGACATTTCTCCGCCGCGCCCTGCGATCCGACACTCGGATGGACAGAAGACTTTTTAATCATTTCCCCTCCCCCTCTTTTTGTTTATTTTTTTTTTTTGTTTTGTTTTTATTTTTTTGTTTTGTTTTGCAGACGCCTCTTAATTTATGGAATCAACTCCTCCCCCCCCCCCCCCCCCCCCCCCCCCCCCCCCCGCCCCCCCCTCTCCCCCCCCCCCCCCTCCCCCCCCCCCCCCCACCCCCCCCCCCCCCCCCCCCCATTCTGGAGTTTTGTTTGTGTGTGTCCATTGGATTACAAACTTTATTAAAAAAAAGATACAAGCCAGTTTTTCACGCGATGCTCAATGTCCAAATCTTTCCTGCCGAGATCTGTGCATGGCGGGGGGGGGGGGGGATGTTTGGTTGGCCTCATATTGCGGGGGTGGGAGGGGGGGGGGGGGTTCTGGTGGGCCTGCCTCGTATTGTAAGGGGGGGGGGGGGGTGTCTGGCAACCTCATGGCAGGAGGGGGGGGTCTGGTGGCCTCGTAGGAAGGGGGGGGGGTCTAGTGGCCCCATATTGCAGGAGGGGAGGGTCTGTCAACCTCATATTGCAGGAGGGGGGTATCTGGTGGCCTCATATTGCACGTGGGGGGTATCTGGTGGCCTCATATTATAGGGGGGGGATCTGGCGGCCTCGTATTTCAGGAGGGGGGGCTGGCGACCTTGTATTACAGGAGGGGGGGTCTGGCGGCCTTGTATTACAGGAGGGGGGGTTGGGTCTGGTGACCTCATATTGCAGGAGGGGGGGTGTCTGGCAGCATCATATTGCAGGGGGGGGGGGGTCTGGCAGCATCATATTGCAGGGGGGGGTCTGGCAGCCTCGATTGCAGGGGGGGGGGGTCTGGCAGCCTTATATTACAGGAGGGGGGGGGTCTGGGCGGCCTCTGGCGCCTTATTGCAGGGGGGAGGGGGGGTCATATTGGCAGCCTTATATTACAGGAGGGGGGGGTCTGGTGGCCTCATATTGTAGGGGTCGGCTTTACCAACCTCACATTCGTTTGTTACAAAGCTGACTTTTGTTGGATGACATCATGTTTTGGCGATACTTTATTGTTCTGAACAATACACACTCGTCCAATCACTGAGCACTTTGTTTTACGTGGACTTTTAATTTACATCTGACAGGGTTATGGAGCTCCTGAAAGATAGGCATCACTCCTGCAGCATGGCATTCAGCTGCTGTGCCCTCCCCTTATCCAATCACAGAGGGCTTTGTATTTTTGGAATGAGATCACGTAATACAAAGGCTTCTGTGAATGGGCAGGCAGAGATGTTTGTGAGAAGACAGCATCTCTCTTGCCAGAGCTCAGGGAATGTAGTGATAGCTATCCTTCCAGAGCTCCATAAAACTCGGATATAAATAGAAGTCCAGGAGGTGGCATGCACCTGGTTGGACTTAGCTCAGTATGGCAGCACATTTCACGAAGTGGCTGGATTCCTGGAGCACAGGGAGGACCCTTTGCTTATGTATTGTCTGGAACAATAAAGTTTCACCAGAGAGTGTCCAGATTTCTGCGTGACATCCTGGGAGGAGCTACTGTCACAGATGGGGGCGGACTGTGCACTTCTTCCTCCAGCAGATCACCAGGAAGTCATCATGTGATGCTGAACCATCGGTCTGTGGTGTGGGGGAAGGGCTACTTGTGTTTTGCCAGCCATGTGGGCTTATAACATGGAGGGTATTCCAGAAAAGAGATTGGAGATGCTGACCACGCCTGTGAGATTGGTGACGGGTGATGGGTCCTACCTACGGGGAGTGTCTGCTGACAACCCAATCCAGGAATTGTGGAGTCATGCTGGTGTACATATTGTGGTGTATGCCACCTCCTGGACTCCTCTCTGTTACTGTCACTATACTCCCAGCACTCTGATAGGACGTGTCAGCAGCCCGCGCTGTCCATGCGAATGGGTTCCATAATGCAAAGCTTTCTGTGATTGGAGGATAGGAAAGGAGGGGGCGGGCCGAACTGCAATTGGGGACACGAAGGTTCAGTTTTGGAGTACTGGAAGTATAATGATGGCTAAAACTCCAGGAATTCAGCCGTTTGTAAAATGTGCAGATATACTATGAGCCAGGTGCATGCAACCTCCTGGACTCACCTCTGTTACATCTACCAGTTTTATGGCAACCCTGGGAGGATAGCTGTCACTGCACTCCTGGAGCTGTCCTCTCTGCCCGCACGCCCCTACCCCCCCTCTGCTGTCCTCTCTCTGCCCGCCCTCCCTCTCTGCTCTGTCCTCTCTGCCCGCCCTCCCCTCGCTGTAATCTCTGCCCGTCCTCTCTGCCCGCCCCTCCCCTCTGCTGTCCTCTCTGCCCGCCCCTCCCCTCTGCTGTCCTCTTTCTGCCCGCCCTCTCCCTCTGCTGTCCATTCACAGAAGCCTTTTCTGAATGAAGTTCATATAAAAACAAAGCTCACTGTGATTGGACAGGAGAGGGAAGGGGCGGGCACAGCAGCTGCATGTAGTAATACTGTCTAACCACTATAATGCAATATCCTAAGTACCGGCCTAATCAATGCTGCAGACGTGGCGGGAAGTGGCGGTGGGAGGCCCCTGCTGGACATCACCTCTTATTAACCAAAGTGCTGCAGAATTCCTGGAGGTACTGATTTGTGCCCAACTTCAGTCAAAAGTGAAAATCTAACAATTGTTTTGGCAGTGGGCCCACCCCTTCCCAATGTACAGTGTTGTCACCATCAGGCCCCCCCCCCTCCGAGAACTGCCATTGTTACACAGCACATGTACAGGAAGTGGTTGCAAAAGAGGCTCCAGGAAATCTATAGTGGCACTGAGATGGAATGGGAGGTAAAAACATAAGTCTTTAATGTTAGAGTATGGTGTATAATACACAGAGCACATGGTGGGGAGGGGGCTCACATCTACACCTTACCAAGTGCCTAGTGTGTGCAGGGGGGAGATGTGTGTACACAGCGCCCCCCCCGGGGAATCTCGGGTGGAAACATCTCTACCCGCCGTGTACACAGCGCCCCCGGGGAATCTTTGGGTGGAGGAACATCTCTACGCGCCGTGTACACAGCGCGTCCCCCGGGGGAATACTTGGGTGGAAACAACTCTTTTCCCGCCGTGTACACAGCGCCCCCCCCGGGGGATCTTGGTGGAACTATCTCTTCCCGTCGTGTACAAACCTCCCCCCCCCCGGGGGTCGATCTCGGGTGGAACATCTCTATGCGACGTAGTGTACATGGTACCCCCCCGGGGATTTCAGGGTGGAACATCTCTACGCGCCGTTTGCTACGTGTACATGGTACCCCCCCGGGGGATTTCAGTCTGGTGGAAAACATCTCTAACGCGCCGTGGTGTACATTGGCCCCCCGGGGGATCTCGGGTGCAACATCTGCACTCGCTGGGTACCGAGGAGAGAAGTGAGTGATCGCGAGTCCAAGGAGGCGGCTTCCTCCCAGATGAATGTTCAGAGACGTCTCCCATGTGACTCGGATGCAACAATCAGCAGGAGACCATCAAATCTGTACATCACAATGTATATCCCTAGCAACACAAGCCCGAGATCTAGCTGGGCACAAGAGCTTACAATCTGTACTGTTACATGAACACGTATTATTGCCAGTAACCAAAATGGCGGCTCTGCAGGCACAGATGTCAGTCTATCCCCGATACCCATCCTACTTACCCAGTTGTAGATCATTGATTGAACGCATTCACATGAACCGCATTACAGATAGGCCAGACAGCGTCGTGATGATGTCAGAGGGGAGGCTCTGCCCAACAAATTGTTCGTCATCAATAGACTTCTTCTAGGGGAATGCTTTCAATCGTTCTGCAGCGTGTGAGTCGGATCATATTTGTGGAAATAAAGACGTTTCTTGCTCCGTGTCGCATTCGAGAGGCGTCTCCTTCCGTCACCGGAACTACACGTCCACGTCACATTGGGGGGTTGTGAGTCCCTGAAGTTCCGTGATTTTGGGGCGTGTTGGTACAGGAAGCACCTACATTATATTAAAGCTGGGAGGGGCCCCTGTAATGAAAGGGTCTCCATGTCTGGTAAGCCTCCATTCACTCCTCTGCTGACCAGCTGATAAGTCCATCTGCACCAGCATTGTGTACAATTCCCACCATCTCCATTGTACAACCTGCCTCGCCTCCTCACACTTCCAGGGCTAAACTCCTTGTCTATTTGGACTTTGT